CTTCCAACCTAGCCAACTGACCCCTCTCGGTGAAACTGATCCTTCTAGGTCTGTTGTATCGTAGCCGCGGCTATCGTGTAATTGAGCGTTACTCTCGCCTTCGAAGCCGGGCCGGCTTCCACGGAATTCCTGATGTTAGTTACTAGTAAATTATATGTGCGTTTGAACAGGCTGGGCTGCGGGCTTCAATGTTCATGGATTATCTCGGTAGTTGACGATAGCTTCCTATCGCCCGCTTGGCTCCAACATATTCTTTTGCCTTCGGGCTATCTCTATACTACACTATTTTTCTTGTTAAGCACCGATAATGATGTACTCTTCGTACTCCATTGATTAACGATGTTGCAGTCATTCCAACTTAAATAATTAGCATCGAGTTTCGGACAGCTTGATGAGGCTTTTAATTTGGCTAAATCTAAGTTAACACAAAAAAGATAGATAGCTATCCTAGAAACAGGCGCAAGCCAATCTTTTCTCAAATCAATTCTGCCTCAATGACGTTTTCTGCTTCCTTGGACCAGATTCCAGTAATCTTCAATCCAGACTTCGCCAGCAGATCGCGCCACTGGCTCTCCGTCCGCTCTCGACTCACCAGCATCCCCATCATAGTCCAGTCCAGGCTGGTCTGCTGCCACGGGGCTCCCACATCGTTCAGAACAGCCTCGTTGATGATAACCTTGGAGTGACCCTTGACCATGGCGTCACGTAAATTATTGAGAATGGTCTGGCACTGCGAGTCGGGCCAGTCGTGGAGGATCAGACGCATGAAGTAAGCCCGAGCACCCTTGTATTCTTCGGGCATGGGCTGGAAGAAGTCGTGGGGAACTGCTTGGATCGCCGAGGGGAGAAGTTTGGAGTCCGTGGATTCTTGGATTACTGAAGGAAGATCCTGCAGTACGAGCTGACCTTTCAGTTGCTCTCCCTGAGTAGCGTGGAATCCGATCAGCTCGTGCCCGAGGCCGCCGCCAACATCAACCAGGAGGGGACCCTTTGTGATATCTGAGCCGCCCAACTGCTCTAGAGCGGGGTAGAAGTCGTACCAGCGAGGTCTCATCTTAGCGTAACCCGTCATGAAATTGTTGAACGCTGACCCCAGACGCTGATTGCTCTGCAGGATACCAAAGAATGGTTGGGTTGTCTTGAGACCGTGCTGGACCGGACCGTCCTCTGCATTCGTCGGGTTTTGATAATCCGTCTTTGCCAGGAACTCAGGCAGGCCGTAGAAGGTGGGAATCATGCCCTCAAAACTGTAGGTGAGACCGCCGGCGATTGTAGGATCTTGCGTGGCGCCAGAGAATGGTGTAGCAACGTAAGAGTCTTGGCCAACCTCCTTGACTAGATCGTTTGCAGCAAGATGCTTCATCACTCTTGCTATCGGATTACGGGTGGTTAGTTGAAATCTTCTATAGGTCGTAGGGCAAAACATGGTGCGTTTACTTACCCACGAGAGTCGGGTCGGCTTTGGTGCCTTCAGCCAACTGTACACTGCTCAACGGCTTGTCTGATAGCTTTTTGAGAATTCCCAGTTCGAATGCCGTTCTCAAAGCAGCAGCTTTGGTCGGCTCCCCCCAGCCAATCCGAGCCATGACCTCTCCCGGATTCTCGAGGCTCGCGATCAATGAGCTGGCAGCAGCGATAATCTTGCGCCTGGCGCCGTCATCTTGGGTCTCGAGGAACAACTTGCCGTTCTCGGCGATATCGTTGAGAAACGGGGCGGCCATCTTGGGTACGATGCTCCGTAAGTCGAAAGGTAACTGCGGTATGGGAGTTGTAGTTTGACCGGCGATAGGAGGGAGGGAGTTGAGGACAAGGGATCACTTTAAATGGGCCACTCTGCCAGGAGAGTATCGAAACTCCCGTTCCCTGCATCGAATGTTAGTGGTGACTCTGGTGAGTGTGATGCCACATTCCCTGTTCGTCTGCCCTATGAGACCAGCTTAACCCCGGCAAGTTGTCAGAGTCGCTACGAGTAGCGCTTATTCAAGGCTGAATCTAGCGCTGATTGCCCACTATCCGCGCGGCAGAACTGACACAATTACCCCGCTTCTGCTATCTTTGCACCTGGCTATTCATCCATCAATTGTCCAAGGCGATTCTTCACGTTCGCTACGAGATTGAGTGAATCTGGAGCAGACCGGCGAGAGCCTTGTAGAGGATCTCCGGGAACTCTCTTCTACCATGGGTCAGGGCAATACTGGTGGTGTAAGTCGACCAAAGTGCCAATTGCTGAGGGTGGGAGGAGCATCGCCCCACCTGCAGGCGTCTTGCTTACTCCCACGGTGCCACCATGACACCTCGGCGTCTCATGAACACGTCCGCGGCCGAGATTTTCTACTGTCCGAGTTGGCGGTGACAATTGTCGGTGGTTCTATATCGAGAAGAACTTGCTGCGCAAATTGTAGAATTCAGAGGGTGCTGGCAACGGGTAGTTATCGTAGCGAGCAATCGGCGAATCAAAGTTCACCAAAGGCCAACAGTGACTTGCCTCTAGCTAAAATCATGGCTAGTCTGTCTTTCAGGTGGCGAATAGGGGCGTTGGTGATTAGTCATCAGCCAACGCGTAGCTGATGAGAAGCATCGCAATTGCCAGTTTAGCCGATTTATTACCTCAACCTCACACGATATGGAGGACTCTCCTCGTCCGAAACAGGCCGCTTGCCTGGTCTGTCGGCGCAGCAAGATCAAATGCGACTGGAAGCAGAATGAAGACCGGTGCCACCGCTGCCTCCAGCTCGATGTGGAGTGCATCCGGCCTGTCTTTGTCCCAGGTCGCCAGAAGGGCATCAAGAAGCAAGTCTCGTGCACTTATTCGCCAATGCCTCTCCGCACCGTTGCTAACATTGCGCCCAAAGTAAACGCGTGGGACTGGACAAGGCGCTTTTTCAGATTGACGAAGCGGTGAAAAGAGCGCGTTCTGGCTCGCAGACGAATAATGACGACCAGCGCGTCTTAGCACATCTGCAACAGCTGCTGGGCCAATTGACAGATGCAGATGATACCAACTCAACCCATGTACCGCTGGGTCCTGGCTCTGTCTCGTCGTCTAGAATAGAACACGACACCGCGATGGACCGCATGACTGAAGAGGGCGATCACTCCGATGAAGAGGATGCCGGCAACGCAGTGGGCGTCCCAGAAATCATCCAGCAGACCGAAGACAGTCTCGCGATTGATGATGCAGAAAATCCATTGCAGCTGCTAGCCCGTGCTTCGTACAATATCCAACCGTCACCCGACTCTCGCCACGGGAAGTCTCCTCAGTCCGTGCTGGCTTCCGTATCCTCCAAAGACCAGCAACAGACAGAGGACGAGCTTCAAGCGTTCTTCGCGCCTGCTCGTGCAAAACTCGACATAGGCGGAGACTATGACCCGATCTCCCTCGGACTTGTCAGTGAAGAAGAAGCCCAGATGTTGTTCACATAGTACGTAGAGCCAGCCCGCTTCATTGGCCTTGTGCGATGCAAACACCCGCCTTGTGAGTGCCAAATGACTGATGTTGACCCAGCTTCCACGAGAATCTTGCGCACACCAGATGGGGATTTGACCCAAGGGTTTATACTGCCGAGTTTGCTCGATCCCGCTCCACCTTCCTCTTTACCTCCGTCATGGCCGCCTCGGCTCTCTTCATACCGTCAGGCGAAGGCCTATCACGCCGCCTTTCCAATCACACAAAAAAGCTCGCCCACAGGGTTATTGAGTGCCGATTCAAATCAGTAGAAATTGTTCTAGCGTTTCTGGTCAACATTCCGTGGATGTTCCCGGGCAAGCAGAGCACCGACGATGAAACATGCACGTACATGTCCTTGGCCACCACAATTGCGACTGACCTGTCACTCCATAAAAAGGTGGTGTCGCCGGAGATGTTCGACCCTATCATAGATGCGGGACTCGCGCGCGCCGACTGTCTCGACCCTCGTTCTGCATTGATCATTGACGGCTTCCCGAACGTGAATCCAAGGTCGGAGAGAGGGCGCCTGCTTCTTCGTAGTCGGGAAAGGTGCTGGATCGCGCTTTTCGTTCTCGAGAGAGGGTAAGATGGAAAGGTCAGGAACTAGTTCTGCGAGTCCTTGCTAACGATCTGTTTCTTCTTTCGTGATGTAGAATGTCGTTGGCGCGCGGACGCCCCTTTTCCGTGCCCATCACGAGATCACTCAAGGATTGTGACAACTGGCACAGGTCGGACCTGCGTGATCCCCAAGACGGGCCTTTGGTATCCATGGCAGTCTTGAGGAGAGATTTGGTAATTGGAGTTTCTATGCCCGGGAAGTCCCAACACTCGCTAACATTCATCAGGACGGCTTGTTCTCCGCAGTTCGTGCTCTGTGCGATAGCTCACGCAACCCTACAAGCAATGGCGCATTGGTTGCTCAATCGTTCGTCTCTGCCTTCCGTCAGAACTGAGCATGAAACTAACGAAATTGGTGACAGAATCGAAGGTGCCATTGAGAGATTCTTTGATCAATGGTTCACGGAATGGGGGACCTCGATCGGCAGGGGACCAGGTAAGGACACGCTCCCGTGGCTCTTCCTAGACGTATCATGCTAATGTCTCGTAGATCGCCGTCTTCCTCCATATGTCGAGATTCTCGTTGTTCATACCCGTCTATCCATTTATGGCGGTGTGATTAACCACCCCACCGCTCATTTGGAGGTGAGAAGCTTCTTTCGCACCGCCGGACTCAGCTCCGCGCTCAACGTGATGCGTGTCGCCATCCAAGGCGAATCGCAGCTACGATCGATGCCCAACAACACGGCTATTATGATATCATTCGCGGCTTGCTTCGCCCTTATGCTAAGTTCGCATGCCAGCGGCGGCTCGGCCCTTGCACCGAGCATCCGGAATTTGATCGAGGAAGCGGCCAGCGTCCTCATCAGGACCGGACGTGTGACCAACCACAGGAACGGGCTCTCCGTATTGCACGGAAAGTATCTCCAGCAGCTCTCGAGAAGAGCCGCTCCCGCTGGAAACAACAACATCGCCCATATGGATAGCATCGCCACATCGTTGTCCTCCACTGCCACACATCTGCAAGACCCCATGGCCCTACAAGCTCAGGGGAACGATATGCTGGGCGATCAGTCCTTATGGTCAGAAACATTCCAGTTCTCGGCTATGTCGAATGATGAGATCCAGCAGGTGCTGAATCAGCCTGGAAATGACTTGGACCCGACGTTTGGCGGGTTGTCGTGGGAGGACATGTCGAATTTCCAGTGGTTATTCTGGCCCGAGGTTGGGATATGATGCATAAAAAAATCATAAACAAATAAACAAATATAATTAAAGTAATAAAAAATTGCAAACCTACTCTCGTAGCATCAAACTCGACTAGCGAAGAGTGCAAAGTAAGAAGAGAACCGTCAATGTCTCGTTTACGGCATGTATTCACATGGAGATTTACCGACCTAATACAGACTTTTCAAGCTCAAAAAAAAAAAAGGTAGAGGCTCTTCTAAGTCTGAAAACTAACTACCTAACTGACTTTCTGAATAAGAATCTGAACTATTTTGCTTATGGTGGCCGGACAAGAGCCTGTTTACCTGTTGTAGTGGCTCATCCTTTTTCCAACCCATTTGGCAATGCAACTCAACCGACTTGCTTGAGTATTTAGTGTCTAAGCTGCCCGCTGTGGTGTGCTCCGCCTTCATACCTCTGATTGGCCCAAAATCAGGATAAGAGTGGAGCGCACGTCGTGTGATCCAATTATCAAAGTTCGCAATCTTGATTACCTTGGCTTGATTCAGTACATCATTATCAGCGTGTAAAAACAGGCTCCAAGAACCGTGAGTACAGAGACAGCCCGCAGGGTGAAAAAAAAGAACTCGACATGGAATTTCATAGGTAATCGTTCATATTCTAGCATGCTCAATCGCGGTCATGACATGTTGCAAGCAGTGTGGAGAGCTACAGGGTAGCTGCCTTATCGTCTCTCCTCACGCTTATCTGGCGGGTCCACGATGGAGAGACTCCGCAAACGAGGAGAGGGACCACTTATTAGCTTTGCCGAAGGATCCGCTGGGAGACAGATAGCGCCGTCAATCAAAGACATTATGGGACCGATCTCGTTGCCTGTCAACTTGACTGTGAGACCGATAGTAGTTCAATCTGCATCAAACCTGGCCAGATTAAATCCTTCTACACGGTCTTTTAGCAGATAGAGAGTGCACATGCTTTACCGAAGGTCAGCGTCGTGGGACAATATTACTGGCCAGCGACTCTGACAGCACGTGAGTCCGCTGCTGAATAAAGCCGAGAAATGGACCGCTTTTTTCTCCGTCTCTCCCCAACATCATAGTACAACGCATCCTGTCATCAATTCAATTATCCAGAACCACTGCCACAGGCGATAAAGCACAAGATGGTCACCTTGACTCTCCTCCCGCACGAGACAATTCTTGAGATACTTTCCCACCTGCCGTTGAAGCAGCTCGAGACGGTCGCTAAGACCTTCAACCACCCCATCACCGACATATGCCTTCCCCTCCTCCAGCCACTTTTCAAGTCCAGGCGGGACAGGAAAGATCTCGTCCGCGCCTTTGGCGAATTCGGGCAGAGGTTCCCCGTGCCACACGGCCTGGAGTCCCTGGACCTGGATTCGCCAGTCAGGAAGACTCTCGGCCTGTCGCGCAGGGACGTCATCAAGCTGCCTCGCCGGAGACGCACCCTCGACATGGATTTCATGGAATTCCACGGGGACTTCGACTGGCTCAAGCCACTGCCCAAGTCAGTCTCGGATGACATGGCCGGCCACTACCGCGGTCCGGCGCTCATCGGCACGGCGCTTGACGACCTCCTGTCGAGCGCCGAGCGTGTGGGTGTCACCATCCCGCCCGCCTTCCTCAAGTTCATGCAGAATGAGGAACTCCAGCTGCGTATCCCCTCCCACCATGCCGGCGCCTTTCACCTGACCTCGGGGGGCTTGCTCAGGATTCCAAAGGCGCGGATCGGGGGTCGCGTCGGCTACGCCATCGGTTTTCTCTCCTATCTAATAGATGGTGTCATGTTATACCTTGAACCGGGCAAAGATGGAATATGCAGTGTACTGACGGACATGGAAGATGAGTGCCCTTATGAAGTGGACGGTGTAAACGTGCCCCATGAAGAAGAGGACTGCCCTTACGTCACCCAGGAAGACCGGGACGACTCAAAGGCTCAGAAGGTGGAGATCCTGGCGCATGGCTGCACCCTTGAGCTGGTGGGAATGGATTTTGAGACTTACCTGGCCAATTTGTACTACAGCGAGGTGCTTTACTGGGTGTGCAGACTTGAGGCAGAGCCTGTTCCTGGGCTGGTGGAGTATGTGAAGTACATGCTCGTCGAGAGGCGGGAGATCCCCAAAAAGCCCAAGGAGATAGAGGACCTGACTGAGGACGCGCGGAGGCAGACGATTGCAGATCTGTTACAGTAGGAGGCGGGATAATAATCTGATAGGAGGCAGGACAATAATCTTAGTGCCTAGGTAATGTATAGCAGAATGCAGAATGTTTCACCAGAGCTGTAGGCCACCACCTGGCAGAGCTGTACGAGAAGGTACCTACCTATGTAGGTCATCAATTAGGGCTGTAGGTCAGATTGAAGTTATACAAGATTCCCTAGCATGGCAACAGCGGGCACAACGAGAACTCCGCGTGGCAGTCTCTCGCAAACAGTCAATGAATACCGGCACAGTCGGCTGGTCACCCCTGTTGTATGCCGTGCGCAGAGGTGCCAATTCTTCGCGAAAGTCCCATCGTAAGATCATTGCCGATATCGAGTTTCTGTTTGAGATTGTAGAAACAGCATCATCTCCCTATTCGGACTAGGAGGACGAGGGGTACCCGGCGATAGAGGCAGAAAGGGAGGCCAAATGTGAGAAGGAGAAGAGGGACACTGCGGACCAGTTCCGAAGCGATGGGTACGATGGGGCCCAGATACTGGCAAGCATCCCTTCGGAGGACATCCAGTGCGTCTCACCTTGGCGCGAGTCCAGAAACAGGACCAACTGCGCGTAGGCCGCTTCCAGCCATGTTTTTCCCAGAGGGCAACAACCCTGAGACAGATCCTTTCGCACTTGTGTTATTCTACTTAGTGGGGGGAGTACTGTGGATCTGATGGAGGATTATGTTCAGGCTATATCCATTTGTGCGCGTTCTGGTAAGAGCCAGTCGAAGAATTCTCCTTTTCTATCCGTAAGAAGATTGAAGCTAACGTGAAACTCAATAGATTGTCTGATTTCTTTTTCTTTTATTTCGCTGCTTTAAGGGCTATCTAATAGCAAAAATGGGAAAGGTGGTAATAGGAGTAACAATACTGGGAATAGTGATAATGGGAATAGTAATAATGGGGTTTAATTTATTCATTCTGACATATCTGCTCCCAACAGTGTAATGTCTATGTTCTATGTGTGTGTAGATATCCTTAAGCCCCGTCCAACCTCTTCACTGGTCTTATTTTTCTCAATACTGTGACCTGTCAAGCTCCTGGGCGGGTGTAGTCCAGATCACGGACACGCTTCCAAACTTCCCTCACTAATCTTTCTTGGCCTTGTCGCCCCATTTCCGAAGCGGATGGTCCGGCTGGTCTGCATAGATAAGTTAGCCAATGAGTTCACTTCAAAAAAGCGTACAGCGAAGGCCTGGACATACCTTATGGCTAGATAAAGCCTGCTTCCTAATCTCACATCTGTTATGATCTCCGCTGTTGCGGGATCAGAGGGTGGGTTGGCCGTGGTAACCAAACCACCAGCCTCCTGAAGGAGCGCGATGCCGGCCGCCACGTCCCATTCCCAGCAACCGCCTTCCCACCAGATGTCAAAGGCGCCCATGGCTGTGTACGCCAGATCGAGCGTGGCACTAAATTACCCGTCAGCTTCTATCTCTGTCCTTGGTACCCAGCTTCCCACCAAGCATGACTCTTTCAACCATCAGATCGGACTTACCTGCCCAGACTTCTCACGCCGTGCACCATGCCACCTTTGCCACCTCGTCCGCCAAGTTCTACCGCCATATTAACGAAGCTCTCGACTTTGCGGCCCAAGTTGCCCCCTTTCCCCTTCTCCGAGTCCGGATCCCGTCTGTCCTTGCCCCACTCGCAGCTGAAAACACACCCCTTGGGGGCATTGGCCGGGATGGGCACCCCCTTGACCAAGGGCAGGCTCTGCGTCTCGTTGAGCCAGGCGCCCTTGCCCTTGCATGAGGTGAAGAGCTGGTTGAGGAAGGGCGCGTAGATGACGCCGATGACGGGATTCCCAGATACGATGAAGGCGATGGAGACGCAGAACATCGGAAATAGGTGGGTGTAGTTTACCGTGCCGTCGAGGGGGTCGACGCACCAGGTTGGGTGGTCCGGGGTGATGAGGTAGTCTTTGGAGGAGCCGGCCGAGTATGTCTCCTCGCCGATGAACCTAGACGTTTCAAACTGAAATAAGCCTCATGTTTCACTCTTGACGACATACGAGACGACAGAGGATGTGACATACTTGTGATCGGGGTACTTATTTGATATCGAACTGTGAATGAAAGTCTCGACGTCTGGGAATGGATCGGATTAGCTGACCACAAGGAGCAGCAAGGATAACCAGCGTAGGGTATGTGAATACCGGTATCGGTTTTGGTCACGATGTCCACCGCATTGTCCTTGTCTTCAAACGCCTGTTGGCCCTGACCAGGCGCGCTTCCTATGCGGAGCGCCGCGGCGTCCATGAGCATCTTGCCAGCATCCTTGCCGAGCTGGATGGCGAAGGCATATATCTCATCTAGTTGCTCGGCGCTGATTTCGGCGGACATGGTAGGTGACAAGGGGCGAACGGCTGGTCCCTAGCGAGCGAAGGGCACGTTTTTGTGACGAAAAGGCTGGAATTCACTCGGAGAGGAGGTCTTCAGCATTCGAGCCGCCGTAATCGGTCGCTAAGTAATTCTGGGGCACTAAACCCGTTGCAAGCCGAGCCAGCGGTCAAGTTCCGCTGAAGGTGGGCAGCCTCCGGGGACCCTCTCGGAAGAATCCTTAACCGGGCGGCTTCTATAGGCAGGTCGCCATGGAGATTCATCCATCAACAGCTGTCCATTAGTGTGGAAGGCTGATGAACACTCATAGAGCCTAGCAATCGGTGTCTTTTGATAAGTTATAGTAAGTACCAAGAGTAATAATACTCTGTTCCACAAATTCTCTTGACGCTGGCCACTTGTACCTGCCAGGAAGTCCTTTATGTAGGCCTCTCTTTCTGCTGTTCCCAGCTTCTTGTATCTATTTACTTATATTGTTCAGGACGGAACTGCAATTTCGCTGACTATACGGAGGAGAAAGAGAATAGAGTTTAACAACAATGAAGCTGCCAGGGCCCGACAACTCAACACAATGAATACGAATTCGCTGACTATAACAGCAAGAAATCGATTTGTCTGCGTAAGGGTGCAGTCTGTGGAACCTGCAATAAAAAGGAGATAAGCCATTGAGTCCATACAAATACAAGTAGCCAACGCAAGCACAAGACTAATTTCTAACACGATACTGCATTGGCTGCTAAAGCTTCGCACTCTTGGTCCATTGCAGATTAACAGCTCTCCAAAGGACACTTTGGTATCTATCAGGGTATCTAGATTCAGCGCAGTCAAGCTTGTAGGTAGGTAGTGTTCAAGAATCTAAACCTCGCTTGTATCGAGCTGGCCGTTGACTTCAGGCCCTACCCATATACAAGTTGAGAAATGCGATCGTCGCAACACGTTTGGGTACAAAATACATCATGGCGTTCAAATACGAAGACAGAGAGGCCATTGAGATAAAGGCCCAGGACATGTAGGCATTAACCATGTGCTGGTTGTCAGCAGCGATCCACTTGTGCTTCTGCCCTCCTGACGCCCGAGATATCAATCTTTCTCTACCCATCTAGGAATATAAGTTGAATTTAAATAACTCGGCTACTCTCGAATCTTGCGCTTACTCGCACCGGCCTTCTTCAAAAAGACACGTTGACACTTACATGTGAATATGATCGCTGTTCCGGGCATCTCAGTCCTCTGGGTGGATGCTGTCTGAGATTGACCTTTGCAGGTGTGTTTAATCTAATTGCGGTATCGGCCCTACGCCTCACATCAAGCTACAAGTGGTAGGTGGTTAAGACTTTTGTGGTGGCTTCAAACTTGAATCATTGAGCAAAGTTTCGCACGGTCGCCAAGGATCTGGGCTAGTAGTTGAGTAGGTCGCCGAACGGAGACTGTCAAGTGCCCGGAAAAAACCATAGCACACGTACATACTCAGGCCTGTATAAGTATTTTAAGAAAAATAAAAAAATACATTCAAATAAAGTTTCTAATCCTTATTAAGAAGATATCTTTTTTGTTTTATTTTATTTGTTGTAGAAGGAGACATCTTATTTTCAAAACTAGAGGTAGGGAGCCTCTCAGTGGTCTTTGGGTGCCCCCCCCCCCCCGAGTTTGGTGTGCCAAGTTTTTCTGGGCACCTTGACTGTGTTTTGGGGTTTTTTGGTGGTCGCCCAGGGTCACTCGACATGTACCCCACCTTTACCCGTATTTTCCGCCAATCGAAAATGTGCAGGTGGAGCACGACCACTCCAAAATGTCCTTCACGAGCGGCCAGATCCATCTCGACAGGGTCAGGCTTGCGAGACCAGGTTTTTTATGCCTGGCAGCTGTCTCCTCTTAGAGGCGGTGCATCAAGTGAGGCAACTCTGCAAAGAAAACGTGAGATAAACCGTCATTCCGACTTCACTCAAACAATTTCTCTACCGTACGAAGAGAGCGAGGCAAATCCTCTACAGACATATTAGACAGCAGGGAGCCTTGCGCCTTTGTTGGCTGTAGGAGAGACGGCCTCCTTGACGGAAACAATTCGACTTTTTATTCGATATTTCCAAAATTTGCTAACTCGGAACCGCAGCCACTACCGAAAGATCGCCGGTGTTTCCAAAAACTCTTTAGTATCCGTAGAGGTTGACGTGCTCAGTGCTGGAGGCCCTGATCTTCCTGTTCTCCTTGACCAGCATGAAGCGGATGATCCAGGCGCAGACGATGGAGAGCAGGGCGAAGCCGGCCGATGCGCCGAAACCGATTCCGTAGCGGGGAGAGTCGCTGCTTGGCCAGAGGTAGGCACCGTAGATGTAGCCAATCTGCACAGAAGAGTTAGCTGCTGAAGGGCAGATGACGAACGAGCAATACATACCTGGCCGCCAACATTGGTCATGGCAAGGACAACCTAGCAGCGATGGGAGGTTAGTGAGACCTGTGAAGAAACTCTATGATGTTGGTGATCCACGTACTGCTTTCTTCTCCTTGGTCTGGCAGAGGGTCGACGAGGCCCATCCGATGATGACGGAGTTGACCGAGTAGGCGCCCATGGCGAAGATGAAGCAGGCAATGTAGCGAGCGGGAGTGTTCAGCGTAGCAGCGGCGAGCACGAAGCCAACCACGGAGATGGCGAGACCCCCCGTGATGTGCCATGTGCGCTCGTGGAATCTACCTGAGCTCCAGCCGACCAGGATACCGGCGGCGCCCGCGAGGATGAAGGGAGGGCAGGTCAAGACGAGGGTGATGGTTGTGTTGAATCCTAGGGTCTTCACGACACTGGTGGCACGAAGCGTTAGTGATTTACGGCTCAATTTTTCAGAGCGGAGTATGCTTACGTTGGAAAGAAGGAGTTCTAGAATAAAGTTAGCGACCTGTACATCTTGTGATCACTCCAACACGACAGTACTTACGAATGAACAGGCGCTCAGGTGGAAGTTCTGCATCAAGCAGAAGAGCCAAGTCCTCTTGTCGGAGGCGGCCTGCTTCAGACCCTGCCAGGCGGAGGCATCGTTCTCGTCGGCATCGGAAATCTTGTCGCGCTCCATGCGGGAGTGTGCCAGCTCCTTCTCGCGATCGGTCAACCACCAAGTCGTCAGGGGGGTGTTTGGCAGCATGAAGAAGCCGACGATGGCGACGCCTGCGGTGACGACACCCTCGATGAGGAACAACCTAATGACATTACATGCTTAGTACGAGGGCGCGTGTGGGGGGGGGGTCAATGCTGCTTGGTCTTACCATCGCCATCCCGAGAGTCCCTTGACGCCGTCCATTTGGAAGACACCAGCAGCGATGAGGCCAGAGAGGCCGGTTGCGAGAATTTGAGCACAGTAGAGCAAGGCGATGCGGGTAGCAACCTCTGTGTATCAGACATCAAGAATCAGCCCTGTGGTTATTGCAATATTTGGATGGCGGCGAAGATGGGGCAACTCACCTTTGCGGGTGTAGAAGATGGAGAGCATATAGGTAGCACCGGGATAGAACTACGAGTGGTCAGTCAGAGATGCCTCTCAGGGCAGTTGAAGTTTGCTTACGGGTGCCTCAGTGATACCGAGGAAGAATCGGCAGACGAGGAGGCCAACATAGTTCTTGACAAGAGCCGTGCATGCTGAGCAGAATGAAGTTAGCCATCTGGGACCACGGGAGGATTCTCTAGACATCACAGTACGCACCGGATACCGCAGCCCAAACAAGCATCCAGGAAGACATATAAGGTCCAGGCTTGACCTTTGTGATCAACATGTTGCTGGGCACTTGCATCAAGACGTAGCCGACAAAGAGACTGCGAGGCTGGTTAGCGACGCCTGACAACAATGGGTTCTCGGAAAGCAAGTGTATTGGGAAGAGCACGCTTGCTCCATATTCGTGAGGCTTGAGTGATTAAGCTCGCTACTCACATCGAGACGGTCGTGTTGAACTCGGACCCTTTCATGTTCAGGTCCTTCTCCAGATCGTTTAGGCGGGCTTGTGCGATGGCATTTCGGTCGACGTAGTTGAGGAAGTACATGAAACAGAGGCAAGGCTTGGAAACGACAATCAGCATGGACCGAGGTTGCGAGCTCGCAGCGTGGGAGAAACGTACCATGATCCAGATGTCCAGTTTTCTCACCAGGGCGATCTCTTCCGGGTCTGTCTTCTTGACTGTGCCGGTCCAGTCGCGCTCCGCAGTCTGAGAGGGCTTCTCATACTCGAGGACGCTATTGACGTGCGCAACATTGGCGCCGTCCTTGGTATCGCTACCAATCGGTTCGCGCTTACTGTCGGTGGAGGCTCCCATTGCGAGATGACGGACTGAAGCAGGGGTGGCAGAAGAGGGAGGTCAAGAGTTACTCTGCGAGGAGATTGGGATGGGTTGCTGGAGAGCGAGATGGAATGACAATCCTACCTGGCTGACCTAGGTATTTATAATGGCAATCCGTGATGGGCTGGCTGTGAGACCTGTGGGGAAAAACTCCTCCAGAGAGATCGCGGGGACAAACTGGCGGTGGAAACCTGGGGTAGCGGACGCAAGCAGCAAGGCGTCGGGCTCAAATCTGGAGGCCGGCGACAGCGAGGTCTAGCGATTGCGGAGGTGAGAAGGGTGGGGGACTGAGGGGAAGATAGTAGGATACAACATTAGGGTCGCATGGGGTAAGAAAGGGGACCAAAACTCGGCTAGGACGGCGCGCGAGGCCAATGGCTGATGAGGATCCAAAGGGGCTATCTTGGCCTGGGGTAGCGTCGAGGGTGTGATCCACTTCCCTGACACGCTCGTAATCGGGGTACAGGATGGTGCCACGTGCGTTTGGAGTGAGTGAGATGGGACAAGACAGCGTGCTCAGTGGCTTGTCGACCATGCTCAGAGTCTGAGTCCGAGTCCTACGATCCTCAGTGTTCAGCACGACGAGCTGCAAGAAGACCACATTGTGGATTGATTCCCGTATCTAGAAGTTCTGATAGATTGGTAACTGGAGTTTATGGCAATTTCCGTTGGCGTCCTACTAGTTTCCCCAGAGCACTACTGCAGGCTCGTTTTGCAAAGGCGGTTTACCAGGGATTTACATGTAAGCTTAACAGGAACGACTAATTAGGTAATTGCCTACCTAGGCCAAAGTCCGTTTCATTCTCGATAGCGGGCGATTATTGCGTGACTTGACCAAAGACCAGCCCTTCTTTTCAACGCGCAACCCTCAACTCTGGGTATCTCCCAGCTTTGAAGCCATCCTCAGCATCTCTCTCCGCAAGTGATGTTGGAAGTTCACTAGCCAATCAGAGAGCATTGGAAGTCAAGTCGGGTACCCTGCCGAGTTTCGCCCAGACGCCAAGTTGCCAAGTTGCCAAGAGGGGGCGCTATGGCACGCCCGAGAACCTCCTGTGGCCAATCAAAAGGATCCAAATCTAAAGGCTCTTTCCTAAAGAGCTCATTAGCTGTCAGGTTATTTGAGAGTCACCGTGAACCATATATGTCGTGGTTTGCGTGGCTCTCGGAGTATACGATAATCTCGACCGGTAACTTCGATCAAAGAGTGTCAAACAAATACATCACCATCGACCTGTTCTAGAAAGCGTGTCTCTTAATAACCGTCAAATTTTGTTTGTATATTCATCTGTTCTCAAAATAAATTACTCGAGCTAACTATGACTTCCATGCTCTTGATCCAACAAGCATCCGACAAACTTTAGACCTCGTCGGCCGAAACACATTTGCGCAGACGGCTCCTCCTGTCACGGCTCTGCCTCATCCGGACGCGCTTCACCCTCGGGTTCCCGAACCACTTGCTCCTGGCATGCGCCCTCTCTTCTTCGCGATTCAAAGCCATTTCCACCTCGTCCTCAAAGGCCTTGAAGTGCTTCCAATGCGTCGAGAGCGTGACGATCTCTGCTGCGGTGACCGCCTCAGTCCTCTGCCAGGGCGGGGTGGCGACCCAGGTCTGCAGGCGGCGGATGAAGGATCTGGCCACGGTGCCGTAGACGGGGTCGGTCTCGGGGGTCCAGAGGAGCTGCCACTCGGTGTTTTCGGCTTGGAAGACGATGTAGGGGTGAGTCTCCAGGAGGATCCGGTCGAACAGAAGTTCGAGGGACCTCTGCTCGCGCCTGACCCTGTCGAGATGGATCTGGCCGATCGTGAAGGACATCCGCATCGAGGGGCAGGTTCGGGGGTGGGCATTTGGATCTCTGAATGCCTTCCGGGCTTCTAAATAGTCGAGTCTATCCTGGGCTGCTGGGTCGTCGAGTGCATCCATGGCCACGAAAGGGGTGGATGTGGTCCGTTGCTGGGATGCCGAGGCTCTTCGGATGGGTTGGATGAGGGACAGCGTTCAAACAACGGACGATGTTCGGGTTGTTTTAGGATCAGCCGTATTCAACGTCAGGAGAGTTGGTTGGCTGTAGATCGAGCTGAGGTTAGACTTTTGCCAAGCAGGTTCTGGACAGATGATGACACTGACCGTTTTGGGCGTAGAATAATGGGAAAATTCTCTGATGGAAGTAAAGTCTGTGAGACGCAAACTCCGTGGCTGAAGAGTATGGTGAGAGTATGGGAAGAATGTCTGGGGAAGAACCTAAGGGACAAGACTGGACGGGCGGCGATGGTTTTATGGCTTCTGTCGTTGTACCAGCACGATGGCAACGAATTTTTTTCCTTGGGAGCCACTAGGAAACAACCTTTTGTTACTTCGACCATCGCGAACTCTACTCTTTGTTTCCCGTGGGAAAGGTCATGCATGGCTTATAGTTTGTGGCTGCCGGACGACAATGTCCGTGGGTATATGCGCCTCAACAACACCAACATTCATACAGGGAAGATGCAAGTACGAAAGGGATTCCGTCGATGAATAAATCGTCTTTAATCCAATAGACCCTTACAAATAGAAGAATGCCATTATCAGCATCGCGCGAGGCCCAGTTGTGATAATGAAATTGGTATGTGGTCGTTGTAGAATATCGAGTAGCTTTTAGCAATAAGAAACATTTAACTCTGTGGATGTGGAATTATATGAAAAGCTTAACAGCTACTGTTACAGAGTCCTCCTGGTACCTGTTGCCGATTACCCGGTCCGTCAGATCACTCAGTGCCACACAGGGATATTTGAAAAGGCAAAACTCGATACTACGAGAGAGGAACAACTACTACCCACTGATTTATTTGGCATCTGTATAATAAGGTACCTATGGAATAATTCCAAGCAAATCAAAAGAAAGGATAAAACAATTCAAGCCCCTATCTACAACCAGGATTACCTGAGGACCTGTTCCTCCTCCCTCCCGATCTGGCGGGTGTGCAGCCACGGGACCCCGATCGTCGTCAGCTGTCGAAGCTTTTCCATGAAGACGAATGTGAGGACAGTGTGGGGCCTAAATTCCGCCCGGAAAAGTCAAACAATTAGTCACGGGAAGAATTGTTGTGTGGCTGGGCAATTTACTCACGTTAATCTCAGCCATGCAGGAGTCCACCCCTTCATCAGGAACAGGGCACCCTCCTCGCGCAGCCCCGATCGAAGAACTGCGCCCAGGCCCTGCAAATTTCGTCAGTCATATGCATGGAAGAGATTTCTCTCGTTTTCGGGTACCGACCTCTTTTCCGGCGCTCGACTGCAGCCTGCTCTTGATCACATCGGCAGGTGCGCACAGCGTCGTTGCCATGGTGCCGGCCGCAAGGGATGCCGCCGCATGAGTCTTGATATCGTCAGCCAGACCCATGTGCGAGACGAGGTATTGCTTTGCTGAAGAGTATCTGCATGTAGAGTTAGTAATAGTCGTGGTTCCTAGACTCGGGTCCCTCACGTTGCGATTTGAGATACGTCTGTTCCGTTGTCAGCTCGGTCTGGAATCAGACAATGGAAATCAGCACTTACTCATCAGCACGCTCCTCGTGATATTGGCACTAAGGCCCTTCCCGAATACCTGCACTCCTTCCTCGCGGGTTATTCTCCATAGGGCCTCGATAGCATTTGAGTATCCAAATCTCTGTGAGAGTGGCTTGGCACCATCTGCACACATTCTGACCAGAACAACCTCGGCTGGGTTGCCCACGACACCTGCGATACCACCAGCTACACCCGCGCAGGCGATATTGGAGCCCAGTGACAGCCTCTTTTGACCTGTGTATTCCATGACGCGCTGCGATAGAACGGTGTGGATGCCGAACCGTGCTGTAGAATAACTTCCTTGTCTCAGGATTGAACCGGAAAGCCCAGTCCAGAGGGAAGGGATGCCTTCATGACACCAGTTAGCCATTCGATTCAGTGCGTGTCTACCCATGTGAATCCCCTACCATCTCGACCAGCAGAACGGACGATCAAACTGAACATGGACTCCTGTGATTTAAGGACTTGCATCCGGCTGATTGATAAGATTAGCGAGAGCCTAGTGAAGACGATGGAAATCAATACTCACTATTTGGTCTGATCTAGCGGATGTGCTGTTCCCATTGTTCAGCGCTGTCCCAACAACAACTTCAAGGGCGTTACTCACTGAAGCACACGCTCATACAGGCAGCGGCCCCCCTGTATTCCAGGGCCTGTTAGCCGTCTCATGGCGCTGGAAAAAGTGGGTAGCAGCACTGAACTCACCCCAACCAAAATGGTTCTTTTGAAGGCATCTTTCTAAACTTCACTCGACACTTGACTTGAACATCACAGCTCGACAATCAAGCGACGCGCCCAGCGGGATACCTCTCCTGGTTATGGCTACTCACGGATCCCAAAAGTAAGTGACCAGCCCCGCCCGTCACGGACTGCGCTTGCTCTGGGCTTGGCTCGGAGAAGTGGAAAAGTGAAACGCGGTGCTCCCTGCAACCTCCACTCTGCGTGGACTGACGTGCTTCAGAGTCATGGGAATGCCGTGGGGAATAATCGCGGCCTCTATTTCTGTGTCCGAGCAGGAATCCCGAGAAATGGCCTTCTTAAATGATGGCGACTGTGCGTGATCGCCCTGCTCGTCCTGGACATTCGGCTGCTCTGGTCAGAAACCAGGCAAAGATCTTCCGCAATGTCCAAGCTGTCGCCATCCCTCAAGGCGCTCATCAACGCGCCCTTCTCGCGCCCGGGGCCCCTCCCAGCCCCAGCCCACGCAAAGGAGCTCTTCCAGTCCATCGCCCAGGACGCCTCCAAGAAGAACCTCAGCCCCAGGTCGTGGCTAGCAATCTCTGTGAGTCGCTCAATGCAATGCCTTCCCGGAGTCTGCCTGTGACTCTACCAAGTGGCCAATTCGCTGACATGACCGAACACTCCAGACCGCAACGACCTTCTCGCTCAACGCCCCCGATGCGCTTCCCATCCTCCACGGCGTCGCCTCGGCGCAGCAGCCCAAGAGCGACGTGCGAGCGGCCGAGTTCATGAGAGAGGTCGGCCTCAAGTGCATCAGCTTCAACGGCATCCCCCGCTCAATCAACTGCCTCAACGCCTTCCACGCTTCCCTCCCAAAGTCCCTCACCGCGCAGCTGGCCACGACGCCGAGCCGGCAGTCCACCCCCGAAAACGTCAAAGACGGTCTCGCCCGCGGCAGGCGTCTCTGGGACTCGGTGTACCAGCCCTTCGAGGACAAGCTCTACGAGAAGCTAGGCCTCGCGCACCCGGACCTGCCGGTCTTCATCCTGAACCACAACTACGCCGGCCTGCTCTCCGACCCGCCGCAGTCGGAACGGGGGAACCTCGCCAGCGTCGGCAGGGTGCACACCTCGCTGGTCGCCATCTCGTGCCTGAGGGCGCAGACGGGCGTGGGGCCCCAGGTGCTGTCGCACGTCTTTGGGCTCCGGAAGACGCTCGACGACGGCTCGTTCAAGGCGGACCCCGAGGGAGAGAGCGAGGATGCGGTGAGGTGGCTCGCGACGGATGAGGGAGGCGAATGGATCCTCAAGACCATCGACAGCATTGTCGAGGCCATGGGCGGGTCGAACTTCGCCGCGGCACGGGAAGCCAAGCTGTAACATTACCAATTGAAAATAGTTTAGAACATATGCTGATAGAAGATAAATACAACCAAAATATCACGGAGGATGGTGTCATCAGTTGTCAAGATTCTCTGCCTCAAAGGGCGCGTAAGCCTTGGCAGATATGTCGCCCTCCAGAGCCGCCGGGAATGTGCTCACGGGCGCTGTAATGGTGCCATTGACGCCCTAACCGCGACCTTTGGGCGCATTTATCGCCTGTTGAGCCCGGAAATAGCGGCATCGCTCACAAGAAACAGGAAGGTGTTTGCCAACTGCCGGCACATTAAATTGAGGCATATCCGCCGCCTCGATGCACGAAATCTGCCCAAAGAAGCACTTATATCTATATATATACAGCGTTTTATCATTACACTCTATCCATCCTGTCCATCCGACTCACCACTCGCCTCAACCGCCAACATGTCCGACAACCAACTCACCTTCCGCGTCGCAACTCTCGAGGACGCTGAGCCTCTCAAGGAACTGATCCAGGCCGCCTTCCGTGCCGAAGACACGAGAGAGGGCTGGGTCGGCCTCGCTGATCTCTCAGCAGGCTTCACCATGGACGTCAACGAAGTCAAGGAGAGGATCAGCAACCCCACCAGCGAAGTTCTCATCGCCTCCAACAACGAGAACAACTATCTAGGCTGCGTCGCCGTCTCCAAGCACGGCGAGAACGTGGCTCGGGTCTCCTGGGTCGCCGTGGACCAGAAGAGCCACCGAGGTGGGATCGGGCGCAAGGTCCTCGAGCATGCGGAGGAGTACAGCCGCCAGACATGGGGCGTGAAGATCATGGGGCTCAATGCTCTCTCGACCCGGGGGCCCCTTATTGAGTGGTACGGCCGGCGGGGGTATAAGAAGACTGGTAAGCTGAGCCCTTTCCCTGTCGCTGCTGTCAACGGTAGAGCACTCCCGGAAGATCTCTGCTTCGTTGAGATGGAAAAGGAGGTGGAGTGATGTTGGTCGGTTTCCAGCCTCGCGCCAAGGACATAACAGAGTGTAAGCAGAAACCTGGTTCAAAAAACAAGGGTGTTTGCTTATGATTCGAGGACAGGTGTGAGATGACGTGCATTCTTTGAGGAATGATGCATGTTCAGGCGTCTATAGATGATGATATTGCCTCTAGCTAGACAATCTCTTAGTATAGTGCAACCAATTACCATTCTCCTCGTCCCATCTCCCTGTTCAAGAAGTCAATGACATAGTTCGTTCATTTTGTGTACATATATGTAGACTTCTGTCTGTTTGTCTCTATCAGTCTATGATAGAGTGCTCCCTGTCCGGCAACTAAAAGTATTGTCTTATGAAAAGACAACAGCACTCATCGTTCGGTAACAGCGAACAACAGTGATAGTGATGTCCGTAAACTACACTTGGTCAATCATTATATATGAGCGCCATTCCCTTGGTGACTAGAACTTATGTCACAACATAAGAAAAGTCAGCATGTAAGAGCCTCCCGTCGATACCCCCAACACACCAAGATACAGAGTACCGGTAGCACTACAACTCTCGTTGGCTGAGCTTGCATTATGGAATGGACACTTCAGGAGTTGAAGGAGACGTTTTCTCCTCTCACTCCCGATGGAGATGAGTTCATACTTTGCTGCCAATTATACGGGAAGCTGGATTCAACTCTCAACGCTCTTAGGAACATTGCCGAAACATTGAAAACAACGCCCGGCACCTCTGAGATTCTCGATGAGATTGAGAACTCTCTCCATTGGTTGAAGGATTATTGCGATACCTTCTTTGAAAAAGTCGCTTTCCAGGATAAGGCTCAACGCGAAAAATGTTACGAGATTGTCAAGGGGCTAATAGAACAGATCAAAGCCATCATGTCGACCTTTGAAACCGCTGAAATCTTCCGACTGGCGCTGCCGGACGCAACACTATGCTATGGCAATCTCGAACGCTGTGTAGTGGTTAGGGACGAGTTGAAAGGTTTCCTAGAGGAGTACCCCGCAACCGGCGGAAATTACGCATAGAGGGCAGCCGAGTCCCTTCTGCAGAGGCCATGTTCAGCAATTTCTTGCAGATGTTTCCCGTGCGCGCATCTCGCGTGCAAGGGTTTACCCGCGTCCCAATCACAGACGCCACCCACATCTTACTCACAGAGGATTCATCCGGATGAGAGCGAATGTGGTTGTTCGATGAATCGCACCCTACCTCGCCCAGCTGCGGACAAGTGCATTGGAAATTGGGATTTCCATCAAAGAGTCTGCGTTATTTCGCTATTGCTAGCAATAGTTAATAGTTTCTGTGCAAGGGACTTTTTTAGATTGTGTTTAATGGGGATGAAACTCAAATGAAACTCAAACCGTTCATAGCTAGACAACATCAATGTCAAGGTCAAACACAGCTTGGACTTGATTATGACAAAGGCAGTGATTCACATTCCATTTTGAGCTAACTATTTTGCCATTTGCCTCGTTGTTTTCCCCGATTAACATGGAGTCACAGGAAGCATATGTTCTAATACAAGCATACGTAGACTTCCGTCTTAATATTTTAGTAGTGCCTTTATAAGTCTCATTGTTCTGTAAGTTTCGTCGCCTATCCATATTCACATCAGAGACTCAAGACTCATTGTTGCTAAGTGTGCGGCAACAAAAGCTAATATAAACACTTTGTGAATCATAGTCAGCCGATCATTATATATACCTACTACTTCCCTACTTATTATGAGTTCTTATTGAGCTCTACAAAGTTGAATCTGAATGATCCCAGCACTGGTACGAGGACCTCAACGATACCCAGCATGGAAATCCCTACGCCCAGGCCTTTGTCTCACGCACCCACCTTCACTTCCTCGGAGCATTTCATGCAGGTGATTGGGATATTCCATTCCCTTGAATCGGCTCACAAGGCATTGAAACAAGTTCGCGCAAAGGTGCTACGAAAAACCAAACCACACTGCCCCGCAACGGACATGGAGAATAAGGAGATCGACGATGAGATCACGTCCGAAAATGTGAAGTTGAAGGAACAGGCCAATCTTGTCCTGACTGGGGGCCTTCCCACGGATCAGTATCGTCACCCAGAATCTTTGGACACTGCTCAGATGGTGATCCACAAGATCAAGGACCTCAAGTCAGCACTTGGCGAAGACAAAGTGCGAGACCATGCAGCGCATGATGGGGAACTTTACAATATCCGACTCAAACTTGCCCTAGAGTCGATGAGAGCCTTGCGACGTTTAATCCCAGAGGGTGATAAACCATCAGTCCTTGCTCTAGACGATAGCATTTTTATGAACAGTCTTTTTTTTAAATTTTGACAGTACTGATTTGAGTAGTCATTCATCATGACAGCGCTGATTTGAACAAGAGAAATTGAAGTGGGCAGCCAACGAGCCGCCTCCCACTGAACGGGTAGCCTAAGGAGTTTCGTCAGAGGATACACACACAGAATGACTCTAGTTTTCAATGAACTTTATTCCGCCTGAATAATGCCTAAAGTGATTTGCAAGCAAGCCGGCGTGAAAGAGAATCTATGTAGTGGCTTGTTTGAAAGCTTTCTATGTACAATTGCCATGCAACGATATGGCCAACAAATTTCCGGCCATTGAATTACTCGTAGGTGTTGGCTTCGTCCAATTGCACCTCAAATCTAGCATCTGTCTTACTCCTCACTTCATCAACAGTAACGCCGGGCGCCAACTCGGTCAGAGTCAAGCCGCCCTTGGCACGGTTTACCTCAAACACGCACTATTTTGGCCAGTTAGCAGATAATAAATAGCCAAGGTGAAAGATGAGAGGGGAACTAACCAAGTCAGTGATGATGGTGCTGACGACGCGAGCGCCTGTCAGGGGCAGCGAGCATTCTTGGACAATCTTGGATGATCCGTCCTTGGCGACGTGCTCGGTGGCAACGACGATCTTGGTGTTGTCTGGGTTGGCGACCAGGTCCATGGCACCGCCCATGCCTTTGAAGACCTTTCCGGGGATCATATAGTTGGCTAGATCACCTGTCGCGCTTACTTGCAGGGCCTAGAAAGGGACATTGTTAATATCACGGCTTTGAGTCCCAGAACGGCATGACTTCCTTACCCCCAGAATGGATACATCGACGTGGCCGCCACGGATCATTCCAAAGGATTCGGCTGAGTCGAAGCAAGAGGCACCAGGCACCAAGGTGACGGTTTCTTTGCCGGCATTGACGATGTCACTACCAAGAAATCACTATTAGTCTACTAGCCAGGGTCATTACCGCATGAGAGTCACTTACGGGTCAACCTGATCCTTGGTGGGATAAGGACCCATTCCAAGCAGCCCGTTTTCTGACTGGATCCAAACCTTACGCGAGGATGGGAGCAGAGAAGCAGCGAGTGTGGGGATACCTAAGAAGTAATTGAATTAGCAAGGTCCCGTAGAACACTGTATATGTCTGTTTATCAGTAAAGAACTTACCAACACCCAAATTGACGTAGTAACCATGCTTCAGCTCCTTGGCAGCCCGGCCAGCGATCCGTAATCTCTTCTGCTGGGCTGGGCTGACTGACTTGGGATCCACGCCCTCCTCTCTTAGTTTCAAAACCTCAATCTGCTTGTCGGCGGTCGATGGCACGATGCGATCGACGAAGATTCCGGGCAAATCGACCTGGTTCGGGTCGATCTCTCCGACCTCAACGATGTGCTCCGCCTCCACGATCGTCAACTTGGCAGCCTTGGCCATGATTGGCCCGAAAGCTTTGGTGGTGTATCTATTGCCAATTGTTAGAAAACGGCCCCCTTTTACCCAAAATCACCAACATGGAGGTATGGATAAACATACCTGAAAACGCAGTTGCCCTCCTTGTCGGCCTTCCACGCTCTGATAATGGCAACATCACCAGGCAGACTCTCCTCCAACAGAAAGGTTCGTCCTCCAAACTCTCTTGTCTCGCGCTTTCGCCCGGCTTGGATGACGGCCCCGGACTTGTCTAACCGCACGGGAATCTCTCCCTCTTGAAGAAGAGTGTCTGGTCGCAACAGTCAGCATATTTCACTCTCCCTCCTCGTGGGAGCGCAATTAGCGCTAGGCAATCCAACTTACGCGCAGCTGTGGGTGTAAAGAATGCAGGGATTCCAGCTCCCGCCGCCCTAATTCTCTCGGCCAGAGTTCCCTGCGGGCAGAGCTCGATGGCGAGTTCTCCTGATAGGTATTTCTTCTCAAGGACCTTGTTGTTTCCCAGGTATGAGAGCACAAGTCGGTCGACCTGGCCTGAGCTCGTGAGGGTAGCAAGGCCACCCTTTCCTTCCTGACCCGCATTATTGGAGACGGCGCGGAGGGAATGGAGCGACTCTGGGCCACGTCGGTGCAGCGCGGAAATAAGGGTATCTAGCGACAGGCAGGACTTCTGTTAGCAGGTTTCCTTTCACTCCTTTTTTCCATCCGCTCAAAACAAGACGTACCTGCAACACCGCAGAGGCCAAAGCCTGAGCTCAGGATGGTGGATCCGCTCTGCACGTCGGCGACGGCGGCATCCGCGTCCTTGAACAGCTTTGAATTGTGTTTTATAGCAGTGGCGGAAAGCACAATCCTCGTCGAGGCGAACCCTCGGCGCATGCGCTGGGCCGGGGCTGTTCTGAAGGAGAGGCGACACACCAAGGTTGCCTTTGGCTGTCTGCCAGAGAGACCCAGTCGGGCCGTCGCAAATACAGAATTCATATTGTGCCTGATTCAATTGAACTCGTCTTTTGTCTGCGAATTGAATGCCAATGAGGGAACCTTGTCGGCTGGGGAGCTGGCTGGTTTTCTACTGTGCCGCGGCCGGACGAGGTACAGCTTCGGCGCCAAAAGATGAGTCCGTGAGCCTTGGTGGGGATGCTCATGGGACGTCATGCCGAGAACAGCTCGAGGTGACCTTACCCTATATACCGCAGATACTTGTCAAAAGGAAAGTCTGGCAAAGTCGTCTGGTTGCAGTAAGCATGTCTATGCGGTGCCATCTATATCAGGTTCTCCTTTTGAGCGAGATGAGAATGAGTCAAATTGATAACATAGTGATAGACGATCAAGATTTGGGGAAAGTTGATTTGATGCCTCCCCAATTAATCGCATGAAGCGTTCGCTTGTGGTATGCTTCGGATATGCTGACTAAGCCCCCAGGCCTGCGCTGCCAACCACTGAAAGCTCCTCGACGGATTGTCAATTGCCTCAGCAGCTTGACGCCAATGGACATGACCGAGGTCTAGAATTTCCCTGATTTTACATGCCACCCGATGCGCCGACCACTCCAACCCAATTTGAAAACTAGCCACAAAATTGCCAGGAATTTTAGTCTCCAGAATGCCCATCTGCATGCGAATCTTAGTTTTTTGTGCAGGAACTTTGCACTCCCCCCAAGGGTCTATAATCCGATGTGTCCCCAGAACGCCCTTGCACGCGACAATATAGTTAATTTTTCCAAATGTATCCATAACGAACCAAGTCTTGGGCGAATGGTTTAGTGGTATAATACTCCCTTAGCATGATCTCGTCTCTTGAGCCCATCTATTGGGAGTGGTCCAGGGTTCGATTCCCTGTTCGTCCATCGCAGGTGGTTTGATTCCACCATTATACCTTCTTTTTGCATCCTTTTCACACATCCCTTTTTACACATTCAACAGGATCTCCTTTCTAATTTTGTTGCCCCTTGTGCACGGATTCTTTGTCCGAATAACAAGTTTTAAGCCTACACAATTAATTACAAAGAGATTATTGGTCAACTTGCCCTCTTTCAGACTGAGCTCAGTTCCGAACACTCCGAGTCCACCGCCAAGAAACCCACCCCGCAAAGACAGCACCGGTGATCCAGTGCCCCCAAGCCCTGTGTCTTCGCTCTGGCCCTCCGTGAAGCCACACTACTAGCCCGTCGCCAAACCTGACAAGCGAGATGATCCCCAAGAACGTCGTGAGAGCCTTGTCGAGGCCTTGCTGCTGCAGAGCCACCATCGTCGCCCCGTAGGAGATCTCGCGGATCCCCTTGTAGTACATCAGGGGCGACACGAGCCCTGAGGACGCGTCTTCTACCGGACCGGCAGCTTCGAGCGGCAGGCCCATGTGGTCGTATTCCGCGCGGGGCCAGAGTGAGGCCATGACGCCGCGACTGACGCAGGCCGCTCCAAAGATGTATGTGGGGAAGGATGAATACGTTGTCATGTTGGTGGATGTCGTGACTTGGGGAGGGTTGGTGTGGGGGCCTTGGATTTTATCCCGGTTCAGCCGAAGATGCGTTGGAGAGGCAAGGTCGGTTGTTGGCTATGCTTTGTCGCCGCCCAAGCGTGTCGTGAGAGGTGCGGAGTCGGAGGATGGAGTGTTGATGAGCGTTGATGTTCTCAGAGCCTGGTCTCGGCACGAATAGCCGCGCTGATGCGCTATTCATCCAAGAGTCAGCATTCGCCAATCAAGCAAAGGGCTCCCGCTTGCTCTAGCACCGTTTAGGCAGAGATTCCGCTTCAGTACGCGATCTCCTTCTGGGCAGAGTGTCATAAAACGTGGCGCATCAACATGCCGTGTGTAACCTCCAAACGCAAGTATGGGAAGCGCTATCTTGTTAAAGTGTCTATTTGAATCGACTTGAAAACAAATCGTCTCATTCGCTTTGGTGCGTGGAGTGCAATTCACCCTGTAACACAACACACGAACAGCTTTGTTTACCACTTTGAACTTTTAATTCCATAGGGGCAAAGATTTGTACACTATAAGACAATTTCTCAAGACCGACTCGCTCTCTGATCTCGGTACTCGGGAGTGTAGGCAAACCGCGAGTCAATCAGTGCTGTCATGCAAGCAGCAGGCATGCAACATGTCATGAATCACCACGAAAAGACAATTATAGCTCGCCGTGTATACAGGCTATCTCCACACAGATGTAACTAAGACGTCCAAACGCGCCAAGATCTGCATGGTTTAACGAACCGAGTTGAGGTATTTTGTCACCCAGCGAATCCCATTCGCCAGGCTGCATGCAGTGTTTGATATATATCGATCATCGCAGGGCAAGGCCCGCCATTGATGAGAGCCTCCACCCAAAGAGAACCTGGAGTTTAGTAAGCGGCATTTCACGGAGAGTCAGAGATCTAGCCGGGACGGCTACGATGATCACAGGCCAGTCATTCTTCCCGGACCCGCAACGACCCCCAGTTGATCTGCAGTTCTCTTCTCGGGATTCGCGAACGTGGGAAGTGCTCCAATGCCTTGCCGGAAGCACCTTTACCGGAATTTCAACGGAATGAGGTTGATAGTTGTATCCGTTATAAGTATGATCAGCTTCCCAGCTCTTTGCCCTCTGCTCTAGACACTATCATTGTGTGCACTTCTTAATAAGGAGGAGGAACAATTTAGAGCCTATCCCACATTGGCCCTTCCATTAAGTCCTGGTTCTAAGTTAATTCGTTGTTGAATTTTCGACCAGTCATGCATTATATGATCCCTCTCGCCCTTGGGTGCGTTTCTTTGGTTCTTTATGCACTTCTTTCCATCGTTCGGTCACTGTTTTCATCCACACGAGCTGTTCCCGGGCCGTTCTTGGCCAGATTCAGCAACTTCTGGTATAGTAAAAGGGTGTATGCCGGAAACTTTGAGACAGAGAATTGTGAGCTTCACAAGACATACGGTACGTGCTCGTCCGAGTTTGCAAAATAGCGTTATATTAAAGTCTAACATGCCTCTCCAGGGCCCATCGTTCGCTATGGACCAAATCGCTTCAGCTTCGATGACCTCGAGGCGACAAAGATCATTTTCGGCCACGGAACCCAGTTCGCAAAGTCCTCCTGGTACGACGCCTGGGGCATTCCTGGAGTATGGAACCTCTTCAACGAGCGCCACATAAAAACCCACGCGCAGCACAGGAGACTCTTCCAGAGCACATACTCCATGTCCAGCCTGGTTCATTATGAGCCCTACGTGGACGAGTGCGCCGATATATTCAGCCAGAGGCTGCTCGAGATCTCCGAGGCCGGCATCGCCATTGACATGGGTCATTGGTTCCAGTGCTATGCTTTTGATGTCATCGGGCAGATTACATATGCGGAACGGCTGGGATTTCTGGATAAAGGGGAGGACATTGCGGGCTTCATCAAAGCACTTGACCAGAGCTTCCCTTACTCCGCGCTTGTTGGAATATTCCCAAGTCTCCACCCCACGCTGTTTGGTTTGGCAAACTACCTTGAAGGAAACAGCGGCGTAGGGACACAGTACGTCAACAATATGACACAGAGAAAGATAGATCAGCACAAAGCTGAGGCAAAGGTCATCCCCGTGGATGGGGACCACGCCGAGCCATTTGTCTCCAAGTACTTGAGGCAGCATACCGATGACCCGGCTAGGTTTACAAAGTTCCACATCCTTACCGGTTGCAGCTCCAACATGATCGCTGGCTCTGACACGACAGCGATCAGCCTCTCGGCGACTCTGTACTATCTGCTTAAAACTCCCCGCTGCTTGGAAAAGCTGCGGACTGAAATTATCGAGTTTCAGGAGCAGGGGAGGCTTTCCAAGTCGCCGACCTTCAAAGAGAGCCAGGACATGCCGTACTTGCAAGCTGTGATCAAAGAGGCACTGCGCATGCATCCTGCCACGGGTCTTCCCCTCGAGCGGGTCGTCCCAGAGGGTGGTGCCACGATCAGCGGCACTTTCTTTCCGGAAGGCGTGAGTTTTCCTCAGGTTACCTTGTTTTTTCTTCACTTAGCTAACTTGCACTCCCTTAGACGATTGTATCAGTAAATACGTGGGTGCAGCACCGTAACCGAGGCGTTTTCGGCGAGGATGCCGACAGCTTCAATCCCGAGAGATGGCTGTCCAACGACGCGGATAGGGTTTCATTGATGAATCGCTACTGGATGCCCGTAAGCCTTCCGACGCAGCCACTTCCAAAACGCTTGTTTTTTTGCTGACTCTGCATTATTAGTTTGGTTTGGGCTCTCGAACCTGCATAGGTCGGCACATTTCGATGTTGGAGATGTGTAAACTGATCCCACGGATTGTCCGAGACTTTGATTTCCAGCTTGATGGGAGCATAGCGAATTCAGATGTCTCCTGGAAGACAACAGCTTACTGGTTTGTGAAGCCTAGGGATTTCAATGTCCGAGTCACTCCTCGCCAAGAGGTTGCCTACAACGAGAAGACGGATGCAGTCTGATTTTATGTTTTTTTTTATCGCTACTTGATAGTATAGACCCGTAGACTCTGTCAAAAATGCACACCTTGTGATCGGATTTCCATCTTCGGACCAGCGGATAATATTGGTGTGATGCAGAGCCAGCACATAACGAATCAAAGCTGAGGTGCGGCCACGCTCCTTTTAACAGACTCAGCTCATGCTCCCGATGGTACCTACCTACTTGAGAAACCTCGATATATGTACCCTGCGGCCTGAATCCTTCCCCATTGTTCTTGAGGTTACGACCATTGTGCGCCCGTATTGACTTATGCCAACGACCAACAGCACATGCAAATGCAACCGTAAGCAAGATAACCAACGGTCGCCTCGCTGCCTCGTCATTATGATGCGGGGAAGCCTCTGTCGCAGCATCATTCCCTTTCTCTCATTTACTCACGTCCCCAAGGCGCAGCAATATGGAGATCCAGTATACGCCCCTCAACACATATCAGTCTGAGATCAGGCTTCTCACAGTCGACCCCGGAAAGCCCAGGGACGAGCTGCGCTGCTCGCTATCCGTCGTGTCATTGAACTCGAATCCCAGATATGAGGCCCTTTCCTACGTCTGGGGCGATACGTCCATCACAGCCGCTATTATAGTCGATGGAGTCTCGCACCCAGTCACTGCGAACTTGAAATATGCACTCTGCGCTCTGCGGGGGCTTTCGAAACCGCGAATCGTCTGGGTGGATGCGATCTGCATCAATAAGGAAGATCTCCTCGAGAAGAACAATCAGATCCCGCTCATGGCAAGAATCTACTCAGCCGCCTTCAACGTCGTCGTGTCTATTGGGCCGGGTAGCCCAAGCCTGGACTATTTCGCGGACTGGGCGCATGTCTACCTTTCAAAGAGACCCTTCTCATTCCGCTGGATCCAAAGGAACGTGCTTCCAGGACTCACCCCTACAGCGCGGGCGCAGAAGCGGATACGGGACGCCAAGTTTGTGCGATCAGAGGTCACATTCTGGAAGCATCAGTACTTTCGGCGCATGTGGACGGTCCAGGAGCTTGCCTTGGCTAATAAAACGCCCATAGTTTTGATCGGGCAGAAGGCAGTTCTTCTCACGAGAGCCAACGACGACTGGGTATCGCTGCTTGAAGACTGCGAAGGTGCTTATACCAAAGCCGTCGAGAGTCGATTTGTTGGCCGCAAGTCCAAAGAGGAGTTTAAGAATATCCTGGAACAGGTTCATGCTATGATGGATCCGCCGGCGCACCAAGGAGGCACCATCACGGCTTCTCCTCGCCTGGTTCAGATATTCCCTCAGCAGCTATCTGCCACGGCGCACCGGGAGTGTTTTGATCCCCGAGACAGGATCTTCGCGCTGTACCCTTTATTTCCTGAGCTCCAGGCAGCCTACCCCGCCGATTATCGAAAGCCGCCTGAGCAGGTTCTCATGGATACATTGACCTATATACTGGAGCATCACCCCCTGTTCTTCTCCATCATCCACATATGGCCGTTGCGACCGCACAGGCTGGAGGATGAAAGCCATCCCACCTGGCTGCCTGACATCACTGGGCGCCAGCCTGATGGTTTCACAGGCTCGGGGTTTTATGAAGGTGCCCGGCATGTCCGATCGAGGCCGGTCATCAAGAACAACATTCTGTTTCTTGATGCATGGATGGTCGGCAAATGCAAAGTCGTGCTCCGTTTCGACGACAGCGCAACGAAGAACTTGCAAACAATACTCCAATATCTTGACGGAGAAATGGAAGCATCACTCGAATATGAGTCTTGGGGTATAAGAGAGCTGGGTGGGACGAAGATTCACCGGCGCGTAGCTTACGCCTGCTACTATCACGATCATGTTGGGCCGCCGGAATTTCCGGAAGAGAAATATCGCCAGATACAGGCAGAACTTGAGGCTTGTGGCTCGAATGATCTCCCATGGCAGCGCCTCCCCAAGTCGCTGCAAATTCTCAGGGAGAAGGCAGAGCGCCTGGCCGGCAAGGCCCTCTTTGTCACCCGCTCCGGCCTCTTCGGGATCTGCTCGGACATGATTGAGGACGGAGACTACCTGTTTGTCTCGCCCTCTCTCCATCAACCGATGCCGCTTCGGATCCGAGGTGAGTATTGCGATGGGAACGATATGCGATATGCGAGGCTTGTTGATTTTGCCTTTGTCGACGGTCTGGTTGGGGATAGCAAGCATGAAGATGTGCTGAAATTGGTCGAGTCGCAGAAGCTTACAAGACTGCGTATTGGATGAGAGGATGGTGGCCTGGGCCAATTTGGCGTGGGAAGTTGGATGGTTAGGCTGGTACCTACCTAGGCGAGGGTGTTTTGCAGACTGTGATGGATTTCATTTAGCCGGCCCAGCGTGGATTCTTTGTTCTCTTTGATTCTTTCAAATGTCAAATGGTAGACATGAATGGAAATTTTGTGCCTTGACAACCCTTCTGAGTAGAGCGAAATTGCTGTGTAGGAGACAACCCTTGAGGCGAGTGCAAAATTGCTGTGCAATAGACCTAGATTAAGGCTCACCAATCATCTACTCGTGGGTCAATCATTCGCATGCAGGGGCCTTCCGGAAGCCAAACTTGCTGTGTATGGCACATCCATTGCTCGGCGTACGTATCTGACAGCCATCCTTGGGGAGGGTGCAAAATTGCTGTGCAGTTAATCGGTGATATGTGGCTTTCTGATTGGCTTGAAGTGGTCGGCGAATCGGGTGGCATGATATGGTGTCGGATAGGTAGGTTCGGACCTTGGTCATGCCCTCTATCTAAGGTACCGTACCTATGTATACGTAAACGCTGCGAGAGCTCTTGATAGTCCGCTGCGTGAGCTTTTGGTTGGCGAAGCATTGAGGCCTTGGTAGAGTCGGCTGGGCCTCAATCAGGCCAGAGTCCCCTAGCTACGGGGCATTGAGGGGCCGAGAGTGCTGTGGGCCAGCCGCTGTGGCCCGCTGTGTCCACTGTGTCTCGCTGGTCGGAAGTTGGGGGAGGTCCCGATTCCGAGCCGGAAGGTGCTCCTGCCTTGTTCTCTCGCCATCGCTGTACTTGCCCCTGGCTCCTTTCGCTCTTCGGAAATTGGCCCTCTTCGGCCGCACGACCATCCCTCCCAAGTCCCTAGCGATCACGATCAACTCCGCACATGGGATCAGTTTATCCGATCTCCCCTCATTTTGATTGATAATGGCTCCCTGCCTGAATCCGTACTTCGGTCGGTTTTCGTCGCATCTCATGGATCCTCAATTCCCCACAGAGCACGCACAATACATCACCAATGGCCTCGAACAACGGAGCGCATTCCAACGGCGCTGATGCGACTCTGATCCCGCCAAAGGGCGCTTTCATCCCCCTTCTCATCAACGGAGCGGACGTCAAGCATTCGGATACCAGCCGACATTGGACCTTGGATAACGGTGACAGCAATGCTGGCCCATCCGCAACTTTCCAAGGCGCGGACGCAGCCACGGCTCTCCAGGCGATTGAGGGGTCTCAGAAGGCCTTTGAAACTTGGTCTCAGACCCGAGTAGGGGAGAGAAGAACCCTGTTCCAGAAGCTAGTAGAGGTGTGTAACTTGCCAAGATCCGCTAATGTCGATAACTTCTTTCTCATCAAAGGGTTAGGGTATTCGAAACAACAAAGAGGCGATCGGCCAAATGATCAAGGAAGAAATCCATTGCGACGACCATTGGATCACGATACAGCTAGTTGTTGGGGTCAGTGTGATTGAAGAGGCGGCAGCAGCAATGAGTTCGGAGGCCGCGGCGGGACAGATTCTGCATTCCATGGTTCCCGGCGCGTATCCCCTCGTGATCCAAGAACCATACGGCGTCATCCTCGGAATGGCGCCGTGGAATGCGCCGCTGATTCTCGGGTTGCGATCGATCGTTGGTGCCCTTGCTGCCGGCAATACTGTCATCTTCCGAGTATGTTGCTCATTAGATGTTTCTTTATTTTGAAATCTACTGACTAGTATGGCACTCACAGGGCTCTGAATTATCCCCGAGAACTCATCGATTTATTGCGAATCTGATTCGCTGGGCCGGTTTCCCTCCCGGAGTCTGCAACTTCCTTCTTCATCGCCCCGAGGACGCCGTCGAAGTATTCGAGACTTGTATCAGTCATCCCTCTGTAAAGAAGGCTAACTTTACGGGGTCTACCGCCGTTGGGAGATCCATTGCCGTTGCTGCGGCTAAACATCTTAAACCGGTGCTGTTAGAACTTGGCGGGAAGAATATCAGCATAGTCCTCGAAGACGCAGATATCGAGAAGGCAGCAGAGGAGAGTTGGGACCATGCAATGATGAATGTAAGTCGCCACTGTGGCCTGTCGAGATCCTAACTAATGCATCGTGCTCAATAATAGAATGGCCAAGTTTGCATGGCTACAGACACCATCCTTGTCCACGATGCAATCATAAAGGACTTCACTGCGGCGATACGCAAGCATTTAGATAGGCCTTCCTCTCTCAATTACCGTGTCATCACAGACAAGGCTCGTCAGAGGATAATTCAGACGCTGGAGGAGATCACTGCTGCTGGCGCTAAAGTAACAACGACAACCGGTGAGCACCCTGCCATTCCTGCAGCGCTCATTGAAGATGTGCCTGCGGACTCCAAACATCATCGCACAGAGTTCTTTGGCCCTCTCCTTGCGGTACAGCCTATATCTAGTGAGGACGATGCTGTAAGACTTGTCCACGCTACTGATCATGGATTATCCTGCTCTATCTTTTCTAAGGATACCCTGAGGGCTGTCAATTTGGGCAGACGCCTGGATGTTGGCGCCGTGCACATCAATGCAGGTAGTGTTCATGACGAAGGAAACTTCCCTCATGGCGGTACCATGAACAGCGGATATGGCCGGTTTGGCGGAACCTGGGCTGTCAGAGAGTTCACGAAGCCAAAGATGATGATGATATATCAGTGACGTGTCAAGGTGGCTGCGCCGGGTATGGCGCCAGAATGTTCCCGTGCAACTGTTTGGGTTGACGTGGCTTTTTCTTTTCCTTACCTCCAGTCGCATTTCGATCAGTAACGCAAGCAAGACCGAATACGGAATGGAGCACCTTCTCTTCTATCGGCGGTTTCGTTTTCACCATAATTTGGAAAACCTGAACTTGACAATATACTGACATATATACCCAAAGAGCATCCCTTACTCTCGGCTCAAGCCCCCCGAACGCTTGTACAGATCCACGGATGAAGCTAGATGACGTTCTATTGACCAGAACATTGGGTATCCAACATTCTATATTCCAGCCCCTGAGTGGCAGTCGAGATGCACCATGGCTGCGAATATTATATAGCCAAAGTCTAATTTCAGTCCTTAAGCAAATTACTACAGCTGGACTGGACCAGTGCTAACTGAACTACGCCAAACTACAAAGATCGCATTTTTCTCTCTCTAGTAAAACGTGCTGTGAGATAGTCCCCTTCCAGGTCATATTTGCCTGAAATCCAGCAACACGGATTGTATCTACTACCACAGATGAGCATACCAAAGGTTTTGACCCGAGCTAGAAACACTAACTCTGTTGATTGTTGCAAAATACTTTTTCGGTACGCAGGTTTTGGCTAAGCTGTAGAGGATTTCATCTATAGTTCCTATCTCTTCAGCACTGGCAGCGCCCACTGGTTTTTCTACACCGCGCCACTCTCACAGCCATGGTAGGTATCATTGGGATCCAACCCTGGGCTTAACGGAGATAGTACGGTAAGTCACTGAACTTGAAGGGGCTGATTAAACAGAAACGACCCCGAAAGCGACCCCGAAAGCGATACCGTAAGCGATATCAAGAATGGCGCGTGGGACAAAGCGTTCGTTCCTGCATACAAAAAGAGGACTACCTGATGTTCTAGACGGCACCTATATATATCTAACTTAGGAGCTCACTCCGTTTGATAATAGATATCCTTTCCAGTTAAACTAGCAACACCGCTTACGCTTGCATATATACATCGCCCAGTCACCATTCAGAGCTCAATATGGCGACAAGATATGTCGGAGTACATCGCGATCCCCAAAGACCAGGCGACAATCGTCCTACAGCTGCGCAAATTATCAAAGACGAGGGGATTGAGAACAAATGGACTGAAAAACTTGTTATGATTACAGGCTGTTCTTCCGGCCTGGGAATAGAAATCGCGAGGGCTCTCTCTGCGACAGGTGCTACATTATATCTGACAGTCCGGGATATGGAGAGGGGCAGAGACGCTCTTGCAGAATTGCTAGCAGCTTGCCCAGACCGGATTCATCTACTGCAATTAGACCTCAGCTCGTTGGAAAGTGTACGAGCTTGCGCCCGGGAATTCTTAGCCAAATGCGTCCCACTAAATGTCCTGGTGTGCAACGCTGGTGTTCTTAACACTCCGGAAGGCAAGACTGTGGATGGGGTTGAGACCCAGCTTGGTATCAACCATCTTTCTCACTTTCTCCTTTTCAACCTCTTGGCACCAAAATTGTCAGAATCATACATACCGGGGTCCAATTTCAAATCCCGCGTGGTTTTCCTGTCTTCAATGGCTCACCGGTTTGGCTCCGTTAATTTCGACAATATCAATCTAGACGGGATTTATAACCCTGGACAAGCGTATTTCCAAAGCAAGACAGCCAATATATGGACTGCCAACGAAATTGAGCGTCGCTACGGACCAGCTGGAATTCACGCATGGAGTGTTCACCCTGGCGGCTCAGACACTGGCTTGCATAGACACATGTCAAAGGAAAGGCAGGAGCAACTGGCGCAGGATGAAAGACTGGCGGCAGTTTTCAAAAGCCCTGCGCAAGCAGCTGCGACACCGGTGTGGGCTGCTTGTTCTAGTGTATTGGAGGGCCGAGGCGGAATGTATCTCGAAGATTGTCAAATTATTGGGAGATGGGATCCTAAGGATGGTCCATGGGCACCGGGATACGCCCCTCATACTTATGATCAGGTCTCGGAAGCTAAATTATGGACAATTTCAGAGCGAATGGCCGGGTTGTCGCCGGAATGATATATGCGATAGCAACAATATGAGGAAGTAATAGTGAGAAAGGCTAAGAGCATTCTACAGCAACTTATTTGAGCCCCAGCTTATTTAGTGGGATTGTACTTGTAGTACCGCTCAAGTGCTTGTATCTCAGAGTTAATTGGACCTGCTGAGGGCGGCCTACTTGCCCGAAGAAAACGGTTTCTGGTGCCTTGACCCTTCATTTCCCTTTCTATCCAGAGTAAGATACTTCTGACTATGGTTTTGTGACACTATGATCTTGGAGGAGGCACCCTCTCCCAATCCCCCCTCTTTTCCAACCAGCTCAGCCGACTTCAGCCAGAGCGCACTGCATTGTCATCATCGTAGGTGTAAATTTCTTACACTAAGCTGTGCAGTTCATTTGAAGGTGACCATGGCCCAGTAACCTGGCAATTTTCCAAGTATTTACCGTTATTTTCTTCCACTCTCGGGGCTAACACATAAAACTGGGCACGAAGCTAGGCTCAACCTCACGAAGGTATAGCGTCGACCTCAAGAGCACACAGTCGTAGCCCTCTCTTGGCTTAGCCCCGCGCTGGGATTCAATCAAGGAACCCTAATACCGCCAGGATCCAAGGTTAGGACCTTGATCCCTATATTACTCAGTAGAAAACAATGTGTCCATTACTGGGTATCATTCTGACATTGTGTCTATCACTGGGTTGATTGCTCTGATATTGTGTTAAAGTTTAACGCTGGAGGTTCTATGAAACCGACCTTATGGCTCCCTGCCCCTCCCGGTATCCTCGAAGTTGGAGCTTGAGCTTCACCAACAGGTCTAATTGCGTTGACCCATCTTCCTTTGCGTGTAGTTCTTCATAGTCGTGGATGATATCGTCAATATAACCTCCAGCTCCAGAGAGATGGAGAATGTGCCCTATGGCCCTATGAATGACTAGCAATCGGGGCGAGGGAGGGTCAATAGCCCGCGATTCAGCCAAGGAGAGAGCGGGTTGTGGGAAGCTCATCAATAACACCATCCCTCAAGAACGACCGGATATTGTAAGTGTGGTTTTGGCCCTCCGCGGCCTCGAAATAAATATCAAAAGCTCCAAAATGATAATGCATGCTCGGAGTAAGAGTCAGAGCATTTCCGGGACGGTCGATATTGGTCCCCTCAATTAGAAAGGCAGCACCAACGTCAAACATGTTAAGAATGGCTAAGGCTGCAACTTTAGAGGGATCCTGGCAGAAAGAAGAGGTTAGTTACTGTGAAGTCTATGACATGAACATTGTGGATGTTTGTTGACACGAGACGGAAGATAAAAAAAAAAGTCCTTACTAGCTCATTATTCGCATTTACCCGAGTTAGTGAATGAGGGATAATTTGAGCGACCTCCAGGTTAGAGAAGCGAGTATGCGCGGCTAAAGGGCTACCATCATCATCTCGAAGCTCGTGGTGTCCTTGAGAGGTTTTTTCCTGCTTTTTGAGCTGCTCAACATCGTATCGCCGCGTAATGACACATCGATGACGATCTCGAATAAGACAAGCTCCCCTAAGAGCCGAGACTCGCTCTGGAGTGCCAAGATCAGCCCCCCGTTGCAGGGCGAGGATAGACGACTGTGAGCCGGGTGTTGGCTGGGGAGATTTTCCGATTGATGCTTTCACTAGATTATTGGGAGAGCTACAGCACTTGTTGAAAGCTGAAAAGGTAGAGCAATGACTTACGTGGCAAAAAGAAGTTTTCAATCAAATAATCAGCAAATAAAAATATGGAAGTACGGAGAGCGGCATTGGGTAAATTGATTTCGGCGGTATTGAAATCCTCGTTTATTGGAGTCCCGATCCACTCGAAGAATGCACGAAGAAAGTTCCCCTTTGACTCATCGCTCAGGGAGTATTGGTACGTCAGCCGAACAAGTTCGACACGGTTGTATTTGACATCTTGGCCCTCCAGAGGAGGTTGGTCAAAGTACGTTATGAGCTCAGCAAATCGCTGGTCAGCTACTTGGCGTTGAGCCGCGTCCATTGAGCCGCGTTCAAAGGCGAATGATCCGAAAAGTCAAGGATTCCGTCGAGGGAAGACTGATGACGGCGGTGGACGTTCGTTGCAGGTAGATTGGGGACATTCTGTGAGGCATTCAAATAAACAACCTAGAGGAGGTGTGCAAGTGGCTGCCAGAAAAACAGCGACTGCAAAGTCACCTCGACATAATCATTGTGGCAGATCTTGCTGCCTAATGATGGCTCAATGATTTATCATCATCGGTGTTATAATGATTACCTGACTCCAAAAAGGCAGGCGGGCACGAGTAGCAGCAGTGAGGCGTGTTTCGTTGCCATGGAAGGTACTACATGTATAGGGTAGGCAAGCTGCTCTCGCGCACTTGGCGCCAGGTGCAGTCGCCCAGATCTCTCCACTCGAGTGACGATTGTTCTTTGGCAGTGACCCGATGAAATGTCCCAGCATTTTGTAATGATTTCGGCTTACTGTCAAGGAAATACACTCCAACCAAGGATTTTCATCAACTCATTACCACAGCTACTCGTGCTTCTGGCAAGATTACCAACCCAATCTCACACAGAACAATGCATACCATAGTGACTTGGAGCCTGGGTACTTGGTACTCACACGTAACATGTCTCAGGTTAGTCAGCCACAACATGAGGGTGAGGATGCAGTGAGGCTGCATGAAGCTGCACTTTGTGTCTCCCCGCTTCTCCCATCTTCTCCCCTCTTCTCTTCCATCTTGTCCTCTGTTCACTTGCTATCGACTGACTGAACACACTGGCAAGCATCTGTCCTCGGCCGCTCACTATGGAGCCCAAGCCAGACCAAAGCCCTGACCCCTCTGCCCCAGGCGATGAGAAACCCAAAGATTTCGGTGTCGAGCCCTTGTGTTACAGTGAGCCCGCGACCGTGAACAGGCTTCTAGACACCCAAGTCTCTTCGAAAACCCTCGAAGAGGTCATCCAAGAAGCAAAGCAGAAATCCTCCAGCATCTTCGCCAACTATGATACTCTGAATGCCATCCTGCAACGACATGAGAGCATCATCCAAAGCCGCTGGGCCAAGAAGAAGCCGGCCCAGAGGGCTGCGATTCTCGACAAGGCTTGGCCTGATATGGCCGAAGTTCACCGGCCAGACCTCATCGCGTTCTACAATAAGAAAAGGCCCTCGAAGGCAGCACAAGTCAAGGTTCACGTCGATGGCTACAAATGGCCACACATCAACAAGGAAGATTTGACCAAGCCAAGGCCACTGCTCCTGCTGCTAAATGCTCGTGGTAGACACGAGCCAACCGAGTTCGCCGCCGCTGATTTCGAAGCCATGCATCTGGGGCTGGCCACCCAACAGATGATGCCCATCTTCCTCAACGAACATGTCATGATCCTACACAAAATTCCAGACCGAGAGAAGTACGGTACACTTCTTCCGTGGAATGAACACAAAGACACGTTTGAATGGATGAGAACCAGAACCCAATGTTTACCAGGAGAAGGCCTTTTGATCCTTGAAGCCCAAGAGAGGCTAATGGAATTCCTCGTCAAGGTTTGCAAGCTCATTCTTCACGATATTTCTGCTGAAGCGCTGGTTGGCGGAGACTCGGATATCCAGCCAGAGCCCCGTCTTAAGAAGAATGCAGAAATAGATGGATTCGAGTCACTCACTGCGATGGCTGCTGAACGGCCATATCGCCTGCCCGCCGAAATCAATTTTGACCAGATAGAGGCGCTTCTTGGAGCTGCCGAGTCCGCCGCAGAAGATCATTTCTGGTCCATGCGGGTCGATCCGGGTTACTTTGCTATGAACATTCGTGATGCCAAGGAACACCGCAAGGAAATCCTCAAGGATATAATGGGTCAAACACACCCAACCCTCAAAGGGGCCCGCCAAGATGTGTTCCTCTCTCGTCTGGTCGGATTTATCATCACCAGTGCCATCGAACAACTGGAAATCTTTACCTGGCTTCGGATGCAGGCTCAAACACTACGGTCGCTACACAAGAAATACGAAAGCACGCTCTCTTCAGATGAAGATCTACCCGATGACTTCCTCTCTGCCATCTTGAGATTCAGGCACTATCTCGGGCAGGCATCCAAGGGATTGGGCGGCCTGTTACAGACGGCTTTTCCATCATCCCCCTATGCTCGTAAATACTTTGTTCGAATGCCGCAGGGCAATGAGAGTACCTCCAAAGACCAGGTCATTTTGAAGCCCGATGCACGCATGAGCACTGTTGAGGGAGATGTTACCTTTCTTCTCCAGACAATCTGGAGCAAGGACATGAATCAAGAGCTTTCCTTGGTTGGCCTTCCCACCGTCATGGACGAGCTCGATCGCCTGATTCAGTCCAACGCCGAAGCGAAGCACTTCATCTCTCCAACAGTTTCAGGACTGCTTGGTGATTTGTCCATCATCTGTCAATGTCATGACCAGATAGACCATTTCTTGCCTTGGGCAAGGGGCTTCGAGCTCAAGCATTTCGAACAGCAGAGAGGGATCATGGCGGAATTCACCAAGACTGTAGGCCCTCTGCAGGCTGTGGGGCGGAGCCTTGATGAAAAGAAAATCATGCACGCGGCGAAATTGTGCGATCCGTCGGAGAGGAAGTTGGCGTATCCAACCTCTGGTCGGCGAACCAAGGAAACTACCGAGACGATGCGACGGGCAGAGGAGACTCTTGAATTTTTCTGGGCCCAGATTGATAAGCTCATCCAGAAAGAATGTTCAGAGCTGGAGAGCCTTGCGTTTTGGAATATGCTCTCGCAGCCCCGTCCCATCCAGAGGACCCCAGAATGGGTTGACCCAAAGTCTACGCGGGCCGAAGCCTCGCAGGTGAACACTGTCGATGCCACTGACATGATTTACAGACCATTGTCTAATATCTTTCTTGGCCACCAAGACCAAGGACAGTACAAACATTCGAGAGGGAAGGCCAAGCCTAAGAAAAAGGTCAAGACAAAAGGGCAGCCAACTGAGCAACAAGCCTCTGACGACACCGACACTCAAGAGGCAGCCCCCCAAGTGGTTGATCTACCCCCAATCCCCGTCGACGCACGCTCCCTGAAAGTTTTCAGAACGATGTTCTACAATCCCGCAGTCACATCAACACCTGGAGTGATGATATGGAAAGACTTCCTCCACGCTATGACCTCTACCGGTTTGTTCTCAGTTGAGAAGCGAGGGGGGTCGTCATGGCAGTTTCACCGGGTCGACGACGACCTCAAGAGGGTGCAATTCCATGAACCTCACCCAGATCCAAAGTTACCATTCGAGACGGCGCGACACTGGGGAAGGCTCCTGTATCGGGCGTACGGCTGGGAGGGGAAGATGTTTGTGCTGAAGGAGAAGAAGGGGAACAAGCCATCGGAAGCTTTGGTCGCTGCCGAAGCATCTTGATTGTGCAAGGGAAAACTGGTCGGGCTCATGGATGGCCCAAGGTACCAGATGCTAATGACTTATGACTTTTGCAGGAACGAATTGTTTGGTAAATGATGACTTTTAAGGGACAGGAACCAGATTGGCAGGATGTGTTTTAGCTCTATTTGCTTTTAGTACTCTCACAGGTTGAAATACACGAAGTTTATGTTTGTTTTGAGATGAGACACTCGCCGGCGTGAATATCCAAATCCTGCAACGTGGAAGGCCTGAGACCGGCACAACACCAGACAGTGGCACACAAACCTTCCTCCCTCCATGCAAGGGGTAGCATTGAATCAATGCTTCATGTGATTGCATTGCACCTTGATTCACAGCTAGCAAACAAAGAACATGAGTCTAATGTTAGCAAACACGTAGTTTTCCTTGTTGCCGCAAAAATACGAGCTTTGTGCCCCCGCTGGCCCATGCAAGCAGAGAATCGTGAAAGACGGGGTGTCTCCTGGCAAACTACGATTGTGCTGGTACCCCTCACAAACTGACGAGTTGAACAAAGCTCATCCAACTAAGGAATCCGTTTCCCTTCTTTCTCGAGCTCGTGATCGAAATAAGAACGCTCGCGTTGCCCCCCAACCCTGAGACGCGAGTCGTTTCCTTCATACGCATTTTCTGTTCAGCTCTTTTCTTTACCATTGACTAAGTTTACCATACCATTCAATACAATAAAGCAAACTAAACTCAATAGTTTATAAAGTGATAAAGACACCGACATGGAAAACACCTGGTCAGTCAGAAGACTGCGCCCGCGTGGTCCGGCCGCCGCAGCCGCAACTCCCGTCGCAGCGCCGGTTGAGCCAACACCGAGCAAGCCGCGCAAAGCGCCAGCGGCAAAGAAGAAGCCCACGGCCGCCAAGAAGGCTCCAGCTCCAAAGTCCAAGCCTAAGAATAGTCGGACGAAGAAGGAGGAGATCCAACCGCAAGAGGAAGAGCAGGAGCAAGCACAGGATGTGATTCCAGCCAGGGTTGATAGCCAACGGCAAGAGAGGCCAGCACCACTTTCTACGCCTCGCTTGGTCTATCCTGCCCCCCGCCTAAGCCCTCCAGTAACTCGCTCAACACCTCCTCTCCAAGGGCGTCCTCCGTTTGTCAACCTGTCCACTCGTCCGAGCACAGCCGGTCCCGCTGTTAATTACGAGTCTCCGGCAGGGGATGATTGGTCTCTCCAAATGAGTCCTGAGGCTTTACCCCCATCACCTCCCCGCGGAAGCTCATCGCACCACGAGTCTAGCAGCGCAACCCTGCAGGATGATACGCCCGTCCGGAGACCAGACTCGAGATTCGGCGTGCAGCTGACAGTAGACACACCCGAGGCGTCCACCTTCATATGGGAACGACCTGTGGATGAACGTCCGAGGCCGCAACGCCGGGAAAGACCCTTCGACGAAGCGCCCCCAAGGCTCAGACGTCCGCAACGGCCAACCTTTCTAGAGTCCACACCCAGGGTAGTGAGCCAGCCAGCCATGGTCGAGCGGGAGGACGAAACACTCTACGGGTTGCCTCTCCACCGCGCGAAGAGAGTGAAGCGTTGTCTATGCGGTCTAGTCTGGCTCTTCTTCATGCTATTAGTTGCTCTTGGGCTCTTGCTCGTCGTCGAGGACGCACACAGGTTTCGCAACCTCGAGGATGGCGAGGTACTGTTACTGCCGGTACACCAACCCGTGCTCGACCTCTCGAATGTGCTGATGGACTTCTCCTCGGGGTCAGCTGGCACGGATAAGCTTCTGAGGCGTAGCAACGCCTATGTTGACAACATATGCCAGGGTCCTAATAAGTGGGAAGAACTGCGCACATACAAGAAGCCTAGTTCGGACAGCTGGGAGATCCCAAGCAAAGCAAAGGCCAGGCAAATTAACATGACGAGTCTCTTCCTTTCGAGCGCGACTGACGACAGGGGGATGCGGGCAGTGGTGAAGCTATGCCAGGACGCCAAGGAGCTTACCCAGGCCTTAACTCGGGCGGGACCGACCATCGGGACAGCGCAGAAAATGGCTCTGCAGGATACAGCCCGAGTAATCGAGGAGATCCAGACACGGCTCACCACGACGCCTCCTCAAGATGCCGGTTTCTCGGACCTGAAAGGAAGTCTCCTCAGCTGGATCCGGCCTGAGATTGTATCAAATCACACGACGCTGTGGGAGGAACAACAAAAGGTCTTGAATAACTACCTGCTGTCGTTCGACAAACTCGGCAAAGACGTCACAAAGGCATTCGAGGAAGTTACAGTAGAAGAAGAGCCTGTGCCAAGAGCCGAGACTTACCAAGATGAGAACCTGATCGGAGGATCTTCAAGGAAGAAGAAGATCCCAATCTGGAAGAGATGGCTGCGACATCCACTGGGGTCATCTCTCGAGCTGGCCCATCTGTTTAAGAACGATGCTCTGGATTTTCATAAATTATCCGAGAGCATTGCTGACATTGAAACTCACATGTCAGAATCTTGCCAGAACCAGGACGCTAAGAAACGACCGGGGTGCCCGTACACCTGGGATAGGTCAAAAGTTGATCGCCCGACCCTGGACCTCGACTTCCACTCGTTAGAATCTCGCGATAAGGCTCGGAAGATCGCCGGCGCCCTCGATTGGATCGATCTAGAGCGCCAAGTTCTTCGAACCATCTTGGACAGCGAGAGTTCCAAAGGTCCCGGGCTGCTAGATGGAGAGTGCGAGGTTGTCCTGGACAGCACGAGAAAGGGCACAGGCGCCCTCATCTCGACGAGAGGATGGATCCATCCCGACCCCATTTCAAACAGGGGCCAGGCGTATTCAGCCCTCCCGATATGTGCCCCTACACGTGTGTTCTGGCCCAGTACCGAGAAGCACGACTGTAAGCTGCCCGGGAGTGAGGATTACTGGCATGATGTATTGAACATGATGGGCCATACATTCGGCCTGCCTTCTCGTTTCGACACCGAGGTATCATTCATACGTGATACAAATGAGGACAGCAACAGTAATCAACAGACACGAGATATCCTGTGGAGACACGACCTCAAGATATCGCAAAAGTCTTCTGTGTGGTGGATCGTCAAGGACCAAGTGCCTCATCCTACAATCAAGCGACTGAGAACTTCTTTCTTTTGGGGCTCGTCTCCCCTGCGTGGCTTCCGTCTACCTAGTGTAGAGGAGCAGGATATTCGGTTAACGAAAGCTGTCTCGCGTATACGCATGTTCTTATGGCAGTATCTGTGATATTATATGTATTAAAAGGATGATCTCGGCGTCAAGGCATGGAATGGCTGGCTGTTTTTTTTTTTTTTTGGTGTTGGTGTTGTGCTTCTCTTTTTTTTATTTGGCGTTGATGCTAGGTGCATTTATCTTGGAGCTTGTGTTTCTGCGGATAGAATAAGCCGGTTAGGTCAATACAGAGAATATGATGCGAGAAATATGATTCCCTTTTGTCCATGGCAAGACAGTAAACGACATATCATATGAGTGTTCGAACCAACTCGCTGAGCTCTAGTTATTTCAGGGGGCCCGTATGCTGAGAACGCCAGTCACAAGTTGGGCTACAATAGCTTTTCCAAGTCTTTTAGGCCGGAGCCGGAATTGATCAAAGGCTTTTGAATTTAAGCCCAGATAAAAGACAAGTCCCGGTTTACCGGCCCAGGATCCGATGAATGCCAAGCAGAGAGCCCCCTTCGGATAGGGTATAGCACGAAGAGACTCGTTGATGTAATCCTCCCGTGACTCCGTCTAGCAAAACCAGTCGCATACATCGTCCGACTAAACAGGACCAAGGCGACGGTGAGGGGTATCGGTAAAGGTAAAACGGAAGTTCGAGAACGTCTCCGGCAATTTATCATTCCGGCACGGTGTAAGGAAACCGTAACTCGTGGAGATGTGTTTTCCCGCACAATTAACCGCACCGCGGCCCCGGCTCTGAAGCCGCAATTCCACCATATTAGGCCTGTTCTGGAAGACGTCCGTCCATAGTGACATAGAGAGGAGTGGCCTTGGCTCGTCCCTTGATACCATAAGTAGGGCATTGCCATGAGCGCACCTCATCTTGAGTTGGTGATGCTCTAAAGGACCAGTTCTTGTCCCACCGTCGATATGCGCTTCAATTGTTTCCAAGTGGTACCTTGGTGCCTACTTCTGTCAGAGGCAGCAACCGCGGTCCCTCATCCCCGAAATCAGGTTCCTCCAGGGTTTGTTACGACTGAAGGTGGGAAGTTCAAGTTGGACGGGAAAGATTTCTACTTTGCCGGGTCCAATGCGTACTACTTCCCCTTCTCTGGCGTAAGTATCAACCGCGATATTTGATAGAGCGGCCGCGCGACTAAAACTTGTCCTCTAGACAGACGAAGATGTCGAAAAGGGACTGAAGGCAGCCCGTGAGGCGAAACTCAAGGTGTTCCGCACCTGGGGATTCAACGACAAAAATGTCACCTACAATCCCGATGGCCTTCCCAAATACGGTGACGAGGGTGCTGGAGCGACCGAGGTCGTCTTTCAACGCTGGGACAATGGAAAATCCACAATCGATGTCACTCCCTTTGACCGAGTAGTAGCAGCCGCAGAGAAGAACGACATCAAGCTCTTAGTTGCGCTGACAAACAATTGGGCCGACTATGGAGGCTCTGATGTTTATGTCGTGAATCTTGGCGGCCAGTATCATGACGATGTCAGTATTCATCCCAGACACAGTCCCGGGCTTTCAATTTCTGACTCCTTATAGTTCTACAAGGTTCCCCGAATCAAGGACGCTTTCAAGCGTTATGTCAAAGAGTTTGTCACTCGATACAAAGATTCGCCCACAATCTTTGCTTGGGAGGTCAGTGGTTCCCCATGTTCGAGCCTAGGGGTTGTATCAATTAATTTCAAGCGGCTGACTGGCAGTGTAGCTTGGAAATGAGCCTAGGTGCGGCGCAGATGGCGTGCGAAATCTCCCGAGGAGCGCAGACGGGTGCGATCCCCATGTTCTCGGCGCTTGGATCTCAGAGATGAGCGCATACATCAAGGAAATCGATCCAAACCACCTCGTAACTTGGGGTGGCGAAGGCGACTTCAATATCGAATCCGATGACTGGGCATATAACGGTAAGAATGGAGGAGACTTCTCAGCTGACATTGCTCTGGATACCATTGACTTCGGCACGTTCCACTCTTATCCGGACTGGTGGAGCAAGACAGTCGAGTGGACAGATCAGTGGATCAAAGATCATGCTGAAGCTGCTCGCAAGGCCAACAAGCCCGTTCTTCATGAAGAGGTGAGCCTCGTAACTGTGAACTCCCTGCCATCCTGTCCCAATCGCTAACCTTGGCAACAGTACGGGTGGATGACAGACTTGGGAAGATGGGAAAATCTTGGCAAAGTCAGCAACGTCTCGAGAATCGAGGCCATTGGGGGATGGCAGCAAATCGGTCTCGAGGAAAAGATTTCCGATAGTGAGTCGGCCCGGAGAATATCTGGCGTCATGATGGTGATAGATCCAATGTTGCTAACTCTTGACAGTGTATTGGCAATACGGATACTCGGGCTATTCGTATGGAAGAAACCACAATGATTCTTTCACCATCTATTTGGACGATGAGGAGGCGAAAACCCTGGTCTACCAACACGCCAAGGATATGGAGAAACTGAACTATAACTGTAAGAAGTGAACAAATTAGGAATATCATGGCTCGATGCCTCTGATAATTCAACCCGGTTCGATAGATGGCGTAGCCACGTGCTGATATCGATATCCTAAATGAAAATGCTCAAGTGAATGGCAAAGGATCAGTTTGTGATCCTTGTCTATGGCGGTGGTGTTTCGACGCAGTGCCAACTAACCCCCCCACCTTCCAGTTAGAAATTACCATGTTTGTTAATTGTTGTATGGGAAGGATGGCCAGCCAAACCAACTTGCCCTGAAACTGTGAGCTGAATCAGCACCAGTGGCAACCTGTGGGGAAGCTAATTTCCAAGACGGCAGGGGGAATGATCGATGACTTGGTCAAATGAAGTCATCAGCTCGTGAGCTTGCCATTTTCCCTCTTTCAATACTCATCTCTCAGATTGACAGAACTCAACTGTCACCACATCAAGCAAAATGGCTGCTCCTTACAGTACCCGGGAGGAAATCGACGACGCCCATTTGGCACTGACAGCCACCTTTGCCACTGGAAAAACCAAGGATCTTGCGTGGAGGAAATGGCAGCTGAAGCAGCTCTGGTGGCTCATTGAAGACAACGAAGAACGGATTCTTGAAGTGTTGCGCAAAGACTTGGATCGCCACACATTCGAAAGCTGCATGACAGATCTCCTGGTTTTGAAGGAGGAGATTCTCGACTTCCTCAAGAACTTGGACAAATGGACGGCTGAAGTTAAGATTGACGCTGGCTTCATTTTTGGTTATCTCAGCAAATCGCATTATCGCAAGGAGCCTCTGGGAGTGTCTCTCATCATTGGCGCATGGAACTTCCCAATCCTCATGGCCCTACTGCCAGTAGTGCCTGCCATTGCGTCTGGTATGTGCCCAATCTCCCATTCAGCCTTCAATAATCGGCGTGAGCCAATCTAATATAGAGACTAGGCTGTTGCGTGTTGATCAAGCCGTCGGAGCTCGCTATCCATTCCGAGGCCCTTCTCAAGGAGCTTATCCCAAAGTATCTAGACCCAACGGCCATTCGTATTCTGACTGGCGGTGTATCCGAGACCACATATATTCTCGAGAAGCGATGGAATCAGATCTTCTTCACGGGATCCAATAAAGTCGGCCAACTTGTCGCTGAGGCTGCCGCTAAGCACCTGACACCTACGGTCCTGGAACTTGGAGGACTGGGTCCGGCAGTTGTCACAAAGACTGCTGATATTGATCTGGCTGCCCGCCGAATCGCCTTTTCCAAGTTTGTCAACGCTGGTCAGATATGTGTTGCCGTCAATCACGTTATCGCCGAGCCTGAAATCGTGGACAAGTTGGTGGAGAGATTGTCGTACTGGAATGATCAGTTCGTGAAGGACGGAGACAACACCATGTGCAAGATTATCAACGCTCGCAACTTTGACAGACTCGCTAGCCTCCTCGAGAAAACAAATGGCAAGATTGTCTATGGTGGAAAGTTGGACAAGGAGGCGACATTCATCCATCCAACCATCGTCAGGAATGTCACTCTCAAGGACTCGCTCATGTCGGAGGAGATGTTTGGGCCCATTCTTCCCATCATCACGGCCACCTTTGAGGAAGCTATCCAGTGCATCAACTCACTCTCCAACCCTCTCGCCTCGTACATCTTCAGCAAAGACGACGCTGTGGTCCAGGACTTCTTGAACCGAACGCTGAGCGGAGGAGTGACGGTCAACAACGTCGTGATGCATTCGTCTGTCCGCGGGGCACCGTTCGGAGGGGTCGGCGGATCTGGATATGGTTACTACCACGGCGTGACAGGAATCGACTGTTTTACTCACAAGCGGACTGTTACCACACCACCCTCATGGCTTGATGGGCTGATGGCTTTCACTTACCCTCCTTATCAACTCAGCAAGGTGAGTTACGTCAAGGCAAAGAACTCTCTGGGATTCAGGAGAGGGGAGAGCTTGGAAGACCAACGCAAAGGTTCCTCAGGGGCAGAGACGTGGGCATTGTCCGCGGTAGGTGTCGCTGTGGTGGCTGGATTATATCTAAACCGGTCCCAAGGGCGAGAGCTGGAAGCTATTACGAACTTTTTCAAGTCATGATGTATCTTAGCAGTTTTATATGTGTTGTCGAGACGATGGAGGTTCGTGGAGATAGAGGGTAGGAAGATCATTGCGAAACTTTCCAGGTTCGGCGTCGGCCACGTATTTGTAGAGCAAAGCTCGCTTAGATTCTTGGTTTGCCGAGGAAACCGTACGAATCGAAAACCAGTTCTATGCCTTGACCGCTCTAAACCAATTTGTCAGAGCCGCGCGCCATGAGAAGATCAAATTGCTGTTACCAAGTCCGTTGGAATAAAGGAGGTTGCCTGTCACGTTCGTTTGGATGATCTGAGGCGGCGGAGTGATTCAAGGTGACCTTAAGCATGTTGAACTGATCAACTGACAGTTCTGAGTGAACGCGCGTGATATTTCGGGATTGGTGCGGAGGAGAGCGAGCTTTCGATGTAGGCCAGCCCAGCTGACTTCGGACCAAGTCGCTTTAGGTGATGCATACCTATTGAAAGCTGCGTGCCATTGAGGTCCAATACTTACTGATAACGGTCAATAATCTGGGCATGGGTGCCAGGCATGAAGTTTTAATCTGTGTATCCGTCCTCGAGGAACAGGCTATCGTTCGATCCGATTAAGCGGCGACGGGGTTCGCGATATGTCGGGAGGGATCGTGTTGAAGAGAGCTCGATAAATTCTTCGTCCCCGAGATGGGATTTTTCTTTGTTCCTATCCGCTAGCTTTAGGATAATATCATTATGTCAATGGCAAAGAAACAAAACCTTCTGCGTCATTCCAGCGGCGTGGGGATCTGATAGAGAATGAATAGTTCCACAGTTGACTTTTGAGGTTGAGAGATGATGGGTTGGGCGAGATAGAATTGTAAAGGCCAAAGAACGGAGCAAAGAAGAGGTTAGTGGTACGTTTCAGTTCAATAATGATGTACACAGCTTGGATTCAGTAATAGACGGTTGAAGACATTTTCGGCCGAAAATATCAGGCAAACTCCCTCGCTCTCCTTTGGCTGGCTGAACCACCTACCCTATCGCTTCCAACCGCGAATGTCATCTATCAAGCTGTTCTCCCAATACGACCGACCACAGAGGTCTCTGACAACACTGTTCGCTTGCATTGCCTCGAGACTATACTCTTACCGCGAGAGCAGCCTATCTTCCGTCCATTCATCGAAGGTGAGATAGGTATTCAACATTGTTTTGTATCAGGGCTGTTCGATTTAATTTTCTCGCCAAAATACTCCAATCCTCGACCATCATGTCTACGAGCTAATCCCTAGATACGAAACCGTTCTTCAATCACAGCCTTTGCGTTTGAGCCTTTGCCCATGATAGCATATATAAGGAGTACGGCAACACCTCTACCGATATCGGACTTTCGACTTACAAGCGGTAGCATGCTTCTTCACGAAAAGGCTTCTAGTCTTTGTGCGCAACGAGTTTACGATACGAGGCCTCGGGCGGCTACGAACCCTTGACGCTATTCTCAGTACCTACGCGGACCATAATACTTTCGTTTCCGAGTCGACAGACTAGCGAAGTCTCTAGATCAGGAGGATCATTAACATAGGTAGCCACAATCAACCACCGAAACCGCGTAGGGCCGTTGTCGCGTAGGCTCACACGGTACCTCACGAACGTGCGCCAAATGATTCAAAGATGATGGCCAAAAAGTGCTGTCCGTCCTTGGGATAGTCAGCTTATTCTTTTGGCCCGCCATAAAGCTCGGTACAAAAGTACTAGAAGTTGGACTAGCCAGCGGTGAGGCCGTGGGGACGTGACCTTCTTAATGAGAAGCTGAGTTTCACAATTCAGCGTGCACGGGGAATAAGACGAGCATACACAAAGGCACCGAAGAGGAAAGTTACGAGGAAGCCCTGACTCTCTTCATTCTATCATCGCCATGCTGGGGCCGGTGGTCATTTGTCGAACCTGCCTTCCAAGTCTCATATCACATAGGGACAACTTACACGATAGAAGCAGCTGTGATACACTTGGAATTGTTATTGGACAACCCGCTTGCTGAGGGAAGACCATACTGCTCAACATCTGACAGTTCGCTGGTTCCTGAGCGATTGAGGATATTGGGACCGGAGAAGGCTCCTCTACTAACAATGACTTCCTTCGCAAGGGCTTCCAAAGTTGATCCGTCTTCTCACACAGCCTTGATACCATCACTCGTTACGTTTCTGTCAGTTTTCTGTCGCTATTCTTTTCGAAAACAACTTTACTGAAACGGACCTTTGTCATTGGCGATATTGCTCCTTTCTTGCGGTTTTCTGGCCTTGTTATTGAGCCCAGGTGGATAAATTGGTCAGAAATGCTTGGCGGTGTAGAATGAGAGAGAAAGCGGCACAGTGGGGACGCACAGCGCACGGTAATAAGGTATCTATCCAGTTGAGAATCTGTATTGCTCGTTGCAGTCCAACGATCTTCGGATCGTAGGTGGATTCTATAATCGCTGATTAGTCTTACGCTCTAGTGCCAGTTCTACACAGCACAACAGTACGGTCTCTTCACCCGACCCGTTGCTATGGGTTCAACCAGCATGAGCTTCAAGGGACTTGACCCTCCTACGGTAGCCTACTCTAGTAGCAACGCTCTCAGTAACTAGGTTGTTGATATAATGACATCAATTCATGACATATCCGACATTGTATAGGCTATCTCTATTTGAACCAAACATATTCCATCCCGCATGGCATCATTCCTTGCATACATTTATTCCCTAAAAGCTGTTCTTGTATGTGGTCGACGTCTCATCACCAAAGGTGATGCTGACATTGTAGTTGACAATGGTCGTGGTCTTGGATGCGCCGTACAAGCTGTAGGCTCCAGCCGTGACGAAGCCCGGGCCCTTGGCAATATCGGCAGGGAACGTGACGGTCTTGACGACAGTCTCTCCGCTGGGCAAATTGGACTCATCTGTAAATAATGGGGTCAGCAACAGGGCTCAGAAGACTAGCAGATGGCATCCATGTGTGACGTACCAGGTCCGAGGTAGAAGGAGCCGAGGAGGTTGGTCAGAGTGCCGGGGTAGGCGTTTGTTGTCGCATAGCCATAGGCAATAGCAACATCGTCGACTCTCTGGATGTAGTTTTCGCTGATGATCTTGAGATCGACAGTGTCTCCTGGCTTGATCGTCTCGGGCACGCTGATGCCGGAAATACGGGCTTGGGCAGTGGCGGCCAGAGCGGCAGCGGCAGCAGCAAGAGAGAAACGCATTTTCGATGAGTGTCCTGAGACGTTGATTATTGATTAACTGATGAATGAGTGAACTGATGATGGATTGATGTCAAACCGGTCAACAAAGAGGGCTCACCGTCTTCTTTATAGCAGAGACCGTTAGTGATGTGGGCCGCTATAACCCAGCTGAGACGCTCCCTGGGCCTCGTGTCCCAAACGCTACTGTGAAGTGCCGATCTTTGGACCCAGCGGGAGATGGGGACGCATCATAGCCTCTCGAATACGAGATGCTGCTGCAGGGCCATAGGGGGTTCACCAATAAGATGTCGTTTCAGCTGGTCGATCAACAGCCATAGTGGTGCCATCGTAGCCGCTTCACAATATGCATAATGAAGGCAATATTGGAGTTGACGGTGAGAAGCCCAACATTCCACGATCGAGGTTGCTCATACAAAAACCAGATCAGAATGCGATAATTGAATGCTAGGTTACTTGTCGCCTTTGATTCTGACTTATAAAGTAGTCAGCGATTGAGATGACCGAGATCAGCTCGTATTTCCTCCTGTTGTGGTCTGGCTACGCATATTGTTATAATCATCCACAGCCATAACGCCATCATCTTGGCCATTGCCTCATTGTGGGCTTCGTATTTTGAACACGTTCCCAAGTCGGCATTGAGCGGTATTATAACACCTAGGCTAAGAGAATGACGGTGATGACGAGATGCGGATCATGGTGGCTTGTCATCAATGCCGATTTGCCAAGTGGCTCGTCATGGCCAAGACTCTGCGTCTAGCCGGCTAAACATCCCGACACCCTGGTCAATGACGCCCAACTTGGCTTTGATGTTGTCACGCGGCAAATTGTTGACCATATAACTTATTTTGAGTGGAAACAAACAGAATTATACATTGCGAAAAAAGCACCAGAGTGACCTCAATCTGATGCTGCCAAACCTGCCCACGAGTAAACTGGCATTGTCCTCATTAATGTTTTTGATAATTTTGTCCAAGGTATAGCCGAGCTCTCGCGACACCTGCACGTAGGAGGCAGGCAATATCATTTGTTGAGGTTCATTTCAGATATATAGCCAAGAGAACCTACCATGTCGATGTTGGTGCTGCTACAGGACAATGATAGCAGCCAAACAATAATGTTAGTCAAATGAACAGGCTATATCGGGCCTTGAACGCAAAATCCATCCTCCAGGGTAGCCGTGAGGTTACGGAATGCTTGGTGAATGAAGAAGAGAAACGGACAAAACTTGGCCTTATTAGCGTGGTCGTTACCGAGAAAGTGCTCAAACGCCAAGGCATCCAGTGGGTTGCTAGAATGCCGTCGTCCTTCGCCGCCCTTAGCCTGGCGATGGATTAATATTGAACACCTCGAAGAGAAGCGAGATTGCACACCTTGCACCCTCATCTCACCGATACAGGTGAAGTAAGAGGTAGTAGACGACTTCAGACAACAAATTCTGGCGCAGAGTAGCACAAACTCCATTGCTCTCTTGAAAGGATTACACTCTAGGTTTGTGATAGGGTACCAATACACCGGCTATTCTGGTGCATGTACGGTAATACACACTGTCTTGATAACTATCAAAGAGATGGCTACTATTCACGCACTACCTATGTAGTAGGTACACCGAGGGATTTTCAGGAACAGACGGTTGCCCCGAGCCGGGAGTTGAAACCCCGTATCATGACAGGCGTTGGATCCTGAAGGATGCGATTAGCGCGGCATCTGCCGGCAGTTCACTTCGCGCATTGATCGCGGGCTGCTCTGGAGTGTTCGTCGATTAGGAGACGGTGATTAAAAATAACTAGATCCTGTGATACCTACCAGGCAGTCGGAAAATCAGACAGGCCTTAGATCCCAGGAAGGCAGTTGAAAATTTCAAATGCCGCCAAAGGAGTTGGGTTCGGCATTAGCAGGTAGGGATTGGGGAGAAAGCTACTCCTGGGCCCATACATAATGTAAATTTAGGATATCACGGACCAAGAAGCTGCACAAGGAATGAGTTCTTAGTTTTCACTGGGTTGATTTATTCACCGAGTTGGGGCTAGATGCCACAGTATATAAGGGAGCCGTTCGCCGGCTCGAAAGCTTTCCTTCTTTTTTTTCACAAAACCCAAAAAAATCAATTTTTCACTTGCAAACACTAGAGCTGGTCTCTATTCGATTCTTTATATCTATTATTTTAATCGTTTCTTCCCTCTATTCTTTCAAAATGGTTTCCGTCAAGCAATTCTCAATCCTTTCGGTCTTCCTGGTCGCGTTTGCTGAGTCGGCTCTTGGAGCTCCAGTAGCTTCCAACAATCTTGCGCTCCGATCTGACGACGGCGACCTTGCACTTCAGCTGGCTATACGGGACCTCCTCGAAGAGGTCGACCTCGACGATCGTGATCTCGAGTATCAGCTTGAAGAGTTGATGGCTAGGGACCCTCCCGTCCCGCAGCCCAAGCGCAAGAACGCCGTCGTGGTACCACCGAAGAAGCCAAGTGGAGGCGGCAGCCAGGGCCAATCTATCACCGGTCGACCGGTAACGAAGGAACCCAGGCCGATCAAGCCTGTATCCAAGTTCCGAAGGGGGCCTCCTGCTCCCCAGCCGCGGCCACAGCCCCCGAAGCGGAAGAACGCTGTTGTGGTGCCGCCCACCAAGCCAAGCGGTGGTGGTTCCATCACCGGTCGACCAGTGACGAAGGAGCCTAGACCAATCAAGCCTGTGTCGAAGTTCCGAAGAGGTCCTCCCGCTACTCAACCACGACCACAGCCGCCCAAGCGGAAGAATGCCGTCGTGGTGCCGCCTCCTAAGCCAAGCGGAGGTGGTAGCAAGTCGATCACCGGCCGACCAGTGACCAAGGAGCCCAGACCAATCAAGCCCGCATCCAAGTTTTAAGAGGTCGGGAGGGTTAATGGAAAGGATTTGAAAAGGTGACCAGCTGAAGAGAGGGCTCATGCAGAGCTGCCCTTGTCTAATTGTTGTAAGGGAGTACACTTCCATTCAACCGGATAGTAGTTTAGTGTGAGATATAAGAAGGCCTACCTGAGGTAGGCTTGAAATTAATAGAATCTTTTCACTTCGATTTTGTTGTTGTCATGGCGTACTCGCTCATTGCATCCAGTGTGTTGAGATGTCGGGTCTGGTATCTTCCATTGCTGGCTTCTACTAAGTACTCGAACTCTCGCCCGTAAGCTCTAGGTAGAGCTCTCGGATCGGATTCCCCAGTAGGGCATACTTTTCAGGCGATCGTAAATAGTAGCTATAGGCGGTTCAAAAAGATACTCGCCGAAACTTCCTTTGCCGGGGGACATCTTCTCGGTCCCGAGGACTTGGGAAACGAGCTACCTCGCCCCTCCGAGCGATGGAGTTGTGTGTTCGCCTGGCAGGTCGGTATTCAGGGGCTATGTCCCTTCAGTTTTGGATCGGCCCCGGTGCCATGCCTAGCCCTAGCAAGGGTATGCTCACGTCCTGTATTCACCAGATTCAAAGCTATTCTCCTCACGGTTCTCGAACGGGATTTCATGCGGCGTGAGTGTGTTTGGACTTTGCTTCGCATCGTGAAGGCTGGGTCTTGAGCGTCTATACACAGCGACTCTACTATGTGCATGTGATAACTGGAAGCAATTGGCCAATCTCGGAAATTCAAGGACTTTGCCTTCTTAGGCACTGTCGGAATATGAAGGAATATTCGTAAGATGCGTTTCCAATGGGGCAGCACTGCGTACACTAGCCCCCAATAGTCCAATCTTCGCATAGAATATCACTTAAACTTGTTAGTGTACTTGGAGGCTCACCTGCCATTCATCACAAAGCCAGGCCAGGTACATAAAGGGATACAGGCTTTGATTCACGGAGCTCTGTGTTGACGTTGGCTGGATCTATCAAGGTCGCAGAAGTATGCCGCCGGCTGTGGTAGCGATGGATGCAGATCTAGATCGCATGTTGGACCTTACCCTTCTTGTCATACGCGTTCCCGACACAAACAGACATATAAAAAACTACGCTTAGCTGTTGGCAGTTGCTTTGGGGGCCGTCCAACCCCTCATTCCACCCGGCTGTTTCGTTTATGTTCAGGGCAGGTTAATCGACTACGCAGTCACTTCTGCCTTTCCACTACTCAGAAGTTTTCGTTCTCTCACTAATTTCATTACCACTCGTCTTTGTTGCAACCGTAAGCAAGTTTATACAACAGCACAATGCAGCCCCATGTCTAGCCGGTGGGTGCACTGTTCTATGCACGTTGCCGATTCTAGCTATCTCGTTGCCTTGGCTCGTCTCCAATAGAAAGCCGCAACGTCTCGAGGTGACACTCTCGATGAGGAAGCGATATCCTGCGCAATGATGCGCGGTGGCGGGCCTTCCGATTCGTCTGTGAATCACAAGATACGCTTTGGCTGTTGCCTGTCAAGCCTGCCCGAATGCACCACTCTTCAGCCAGCAGATGGTCTGGTAAGAAGCCTACCTCGCAGCCTGCGAGCAATCAGGCGACCACAGCGGCAACGGCTATCGTAAATAACGCAGAGACCCAGCTCGGCTTACTGCATATAACAGTCCCGAAACACTGTCTTTGCCATGTGAATATCCTCCGAAAATTCTCCACTCACTCGATCACTGGACTTGTCAGCCGCATGCTTGCGATCTATCGTCTCCGGCTTCCGTCTGCGCTTGTTAGGCACCAACTGGGTCAACGGAAGTCGAGGAGGCTCAAGCAGCGAAGCTCGTTCAAAGTCAATCATCATGACACTATTTCTCTCACGATTGAATAACATATTTGCAAAACGTACGTCCTTGTGAATCACTCCCTCTTGATGTATGGCTCGCAGGGACCGGATGGCCATATTCTGGAGAGTCTTTGCGGTTTCACCAACGTTCAATGCCTCAGCCATGGAGCTGCCTCCCCAGGACAAGAAGGTCATATGTACCACGTAGACCCGGTGGTCGTAGTAGTAAATCTTGTTCATCGATCGGAGGTCAATAGCGCCTATGAAGGCAGGCACGTGGAGCCCTTGGATACGCTCCAGACGCTTGTACACCGCAGCCTCATGCTCGAGATCCTTGATGAAAGCCCGCACCGTGCCTTTGCCGACAAATGTGTAGCCATATGCAAGCAGGGTTACCTTGAATAGCACACCCCGCGCGCCCCCCAACCCGAGCGGCTCGATCCCGTCATCTAATGACTGTTCTAGCTGCTTCCAAAGAAGTTCCAACCATTCGGGGTGACCGACTGGGTGGCGTGCGCGAGAATGAACGTCAACGTGAGCACAGCTCTTATAGTGAAGGGCAACATTCGGACACTTTAAATCGAGAAAGCTCCCCTTTAGCAGTCCGAGGAGGCATTTCTGCGTGCAGTACTGTTGGCCTCGGCCTTGTCCGCTGCCACCCCCTTCGCGTGGCCGAGGCTCCAGCATCAGCCGCTGACTCCGTCGAGGGCCTTGAGCTGTGCTTCGTCCGGCTGGTGTAGGGGTATCCGGTGGCCTGGGCGCCGACTCGTCATCCGAAGGGTCTTCCCTATCGTCCTTCCTCAACGGTGTCTTATCAATCTCTCCCCCAGCAGCTCTGCGCTTTCTTTTGCGGAGAATGTACGGTGACCGATCGACGTCTTTGTAGGTGGTAGGCTGATAACCAGGTGAGTCCTCCTGTGATGCCGATCGTTCATCCTTTGGAATGGAGCGCAATGTTGTTTCAAAGTCCTCGGCCCACGTCTTCAGCTTGTCGGTTGCTCTTCGCCGCTCCTCCTGTCTATGCTCACGTCCATGAGAGCCAAGTGCCATGAGCGTAAAGGCAAGATATTGACCGACGGCTGTGCAGATGTGGAAGTTTGTCGGATGAGCTGACGCCTCCGGGCCGGGCTCTGCTAGATGATAGTAGAGCGTCTCGGGTTCGTCCCAGTCGATTCTGAGAAATACGATGGCTTCGCCAGTAGTCAAAAGACCATGCTCGAGGCCACTTTCGATCATGTAGTGGTATGTTTGCGTGACAGCCGACGCCGCCAGCCTGTCTGCCCAGTATCGAAAACGGTCGTTCGGATCCACTGAAGTGGGAATCGTCTTTCGGTTGACAACGTCCCTGTGGATGTCCATGGAGCGGAGACCGAGGCGTAGATGCGGAGCTGTCAACTTATGAGGCGGCTTATACTCGCAAACGTAAACCATGGTGCGCCGTGTGGAGAGAGTATCGTCGGATCGATAGATGCAGATCTGGTCCGGCCGCAGCTGGTTAAAATCTCGATCTCGTCGGCGGTCTGGCGTCCGTGGTGTCGATGGCGTCTCCCTGTCAACGACTTCCTCAGAGACGTCGCTGAGGGCATGAGGATGGTTCTCAAAAATGACACCATCTCCGATCTCAAAGGCCCCGCGAACCTCTTCCACCCCTTTGAGCTGCTGTATGATAGCTTTGACCGGATCCTCCACGCTGTTGTGCAGGAAATATTCGAGCATCTTCTCGTCTGCTATCGGCCGCTGAGAGATCCTGTTCCCTAAGCCGGCCAGGAAAGCTCGGTTCTCGAAAAGACGGCTCTCGGCGGGGAACGTGTCGTAGAGTGTACCGAAGATGAGCCTCTGTTGATCCAGGAAATCGGGCCAGGGCCGCAGATTAGTCGGACACCACTTATCACGCGGATTGGTGATGAGACAAAGCTCTGCCAACATGTCATTGAAGAGCAAGCCATGGCCATCCTTTGGCCAGACAACGGCAACTATGGGAATATCAAGCGAACGGAATACCTTGGCTCAACGGTGGAAACGGACCCTTGCCAGGACTGCATAGCGAATAAAGTGTTTGTCAGAGATTCAGCTGGTAGATGGGTCCGGTCATCCTAGAGTAGCATTACGGCATGGTCTTTCTCGATGATGGAGCCATAGGGAGTTCGATGAACAGACACTTGACCTGTGGTTGGGATGATGCTATGTGAGGACGGATGTGCCATTCTTGTATCATTGGAAGACAACATAACTAGCAAGTTATTAATTGCTCCAAAACTCCGTTTTGGGCAATCGTCTCAGACTCATGTACTCTTGCCTTGACCCAAAGAGGGTCCTCCTCGCAAGTGACCCTCCAGGCATCTCCATCCACAGCGGCAAGATCAGCGGCGAGGTTTTTTATGGACTGATACCGACCATTCCAGCAACTCCCTATAACGCCATCGTACTCCAAGCGACCTATTAGGGGAAGTTCCATCTTTTGTAACTTCTGCATACGGATTGGACCGTGATCCGGGCCCCACCATTCGTCTTCAAACGGATCGTAACCGCGAGTCAGTGAATAGAAGACCGACCCAATGGCGAACTGCTCAGTTCGGCATCCAGCCTTCCCGTACGTGCCGCAATCTGAGCCGCCCTCGTCGCCAAGGAGTCTGGCAAATGGCTCCGTTCCAGACAACATGTCCTCTCCTATCTTGAGCGTACGGTCAAAGTCTGCTAGCTTCACGTGTCCAGCGGGATACAAGAGCATGTTCCCAGGACGAACGTCGCAGTGGGCCACACCGAGTTCTTCAAGCCAAGCGGCAGCAGCGCCAAGCTGCTTCATCCAACGGAGGCAACGCTCCAGGGGTTGTCTTCTCGCAACCCCGATCACCCGCCGAGATGACTCGTCTCTCTGCTGTTCTTCCCTGAGAAGGGATGCAAGATCCCCACTCGTGGCATATTCTAGGAAGATCGCTTGCTCGGTTCGGTAGAAACTTCGGACAATGTACGGCGACGGGGGATAACGCTCGAGTATGTCGAAAATAGTTCGTTCATTAGCCAAGTTGCGATCTCGGCCAGGGCGGACCTTCTTGACGACGATGTATTTGCTCAACTTGAACGTAAACCCAGTGCTACCAAGGCTGAGTAGTTGAGGGCCAGTCTGTGCATGCACCGACCGACTGGACTTTTCCATGGCTTTCCTCCATGAGCATCGACAAGGAGGCGTTCGGGGATGGTCGTGACGCGTAGATCGTAGCGGGATCTCCGTGAGCTTGTTGAGGTATCAAGGGGCGTCGGTGGGCTTGGCAGGATAAGGATGCCGCAACATTGCTCGAGCCAGTCAGTATCATGCTTATGAGGTCGCTCAAGCATAGGTGGTTGTGCTGGAGTTTAGAGACCAGACGCATCGCCATTATTGCATCCGGGGTTTACCCCTTTCCTTATTCCTCAGGCATCAATTTGGGTCTCCACCTACCCTGGACCCTACACTCAAGCACCGTTCGGGATTGAGGGCACCTTAGTTAGTACCTAAGGTGGTGATTAAGAACAACACTTTACTGTCTGATTGCCAGCTTCAATAAGAGAACAAGATAATGGAAAAAGGGGAGAAGAAGTAATTCTTTGATGAGCGAACGTTAACATGTTTATTCGCTTATTTTAATTTTATATTCAGTCTTTATTCATAGGCAGACCAATTATATGATCTGCTATTAAATCAGATGACAGCGCCCGATTCTCTCCATGTTTCTTCAACACTACCTCTGCCCAGTGAACCTAAACCTTCCACAAACACCGATAACCTCCGCAATATCTTTTTCATTCTACACAGCACCATGAACAGAATCCAAACGTGGAAGTTGGAAGGCCGCCTTCAGCCTTCCTACATTCTAGATCACCTGGGAGAGGGTTACTTTGGCTTTGACAGACTTGGGTCCCGCAGCTTTCCGTCTAAAGAAGTTGTGCTGACTGAAGACGAATTCACATCGCTTCTCCTCACCGTGGGCGGACTACCACCATCATGTCTTGGCCTAGGCCGATTTGCATACCAGATCATTGCCTACCTGAGTCTCACGCCATTCTTCCCCCCCGCAAACCAGAAGCCGAGGGCAACGCTTACTATCGCTGAGATCTACCGAGGGCTGGAGTGGCTCACACCGAACAACGTCAGGGGAGGCGATAGTAGAGGTCGTGCTCGCACTCCCGCCGACGAACGAAGACTTCTATTCCAGAGCTTGGCCACCGCGACCTACGACGGCACTCGTGATGCGGATACAGATCGACAGAGGGCCACCCGCAACGCCTTTGCCATGCCCGAGCCTGACTTCGAAGAAATGGAGTGGCTACATACCAACTATTGCGACGACGGGGACGAGATGTTCCATGATGTCTTGGACGTGCTCCACATGTTCCAATATGATGAGGAAAAGTTTCTCCCCTATGCAAACGTAAAACGTGAAGATTTTCGCGAAACCGCCAAAGAACTGGTCGCGAAGCAGGACCGTTTCAGACTCCATACCCTCGCAATACCTCTGGATGAATTCACTGCACTGGTTGGCTTACTGTTAGCCGCGCAATTCGAGTGGGAAGAGGGCGAGAAACCGGAACTGGCCCCGTTCAACAAGGCTGCAACCGCGGTTGCGAGATCATTCTGTGACGACTCTTCTAATGCCATCACCTGGGGCAAGTTTGACGATATGCTCCCTCAAATGCCCTTTCTCTTCGACCCGCTGTATAGAATACTCGCAGCCGTATTCCTGGAAAGACTACCGTTTGAGATATCCTACTCCTTCAAGGCTCCTACACCCCCAAGAGATTCATTCATGACTCTGCCCCGTCTAAGCCAGTTAGCCTCAATGGTGAATATGGACCTGGATTTCGAAAGTTTTGATCGAGCCCACGAGTGGCACAAGGGTATCCGCCCAAACGCGCAGGTTCTTGCGAACGTGCTGCAGTCTATGCCGGAGCAAAGCGTCTTGGTGGTCAAAGGATCATCACGCTCAGGTGACGAATTCATTTTCGGCTTCTTCAACCCGCTGCCCGCCGAGCTCGAGACCCGCAAACACAAGGAAGATGCTGATCTCGGCCCGCCGGTCGAGCTGGATGACGAAATTGGTCGGCAACTCACCCTCACAAGGCTGGATGCCGTGCACGACCGTCTGGAATATCGGGGCAGCATTATGTATCCCGCGCGGCCGCATGTGTTTATGCTCAGCCCGTCCCAGCGGATGGTGCGCTTCGAGGGTGAGCCCCGCGTCGTAGCAGACCGTCTTTGTTTCGGTGATGCCTTGCAGTTGCGTGATGATGGGCTTGTTTCGTTCCAGGCAGGGGATCGCAATATTCGTGTGAAGGCAACCCACATTGAAATTTGGGGCGAGACTGCATGAAGGCTCGAAAGCAATTGGGCCAGTTGGTTTTGACTGGTGGTACAGTGAGGAATAATGGAGCATGCATGGGAGGATAGGACTTAGCGCTTTGTTTGTAGAGTACCTCAATAAGAAAGACCGACTGTATATACATAATTTCCGACATGACTCCCAGGTGGATAGGTTGGCAACGAGGAATCACCTTTTCACGTATTGATCGTTGAGTGGTTCTCAGCTGATGACTGCTCCAAACTCCTCCATGTCATTTCAAAGCTTTCGGAAATTTTTGACAAAGCCTCGTGAAACCCATTTTCGCTCCATTCCACTATCGTTGTTTGTGTCTTGATCCTCGGCAGCGGCAAGTGCAGCGCTAACTGCAAGGCGGTTTGTAAGCTCGTAGGCAGAATCACCAGAGTCAGTCGGATCCAGCTCCGTCTTCTTGGGCCCATGACAGCCGAAAGCTAGACTAGGGTGGCCAATATTGAGGCATATCACGCCTATTGACATGATACTGTCACAGGTTAGCAAAGCGACAGCGATAGTAGCGGTATCAAGGAGTAAACTAACCCTGATTCGAGTATAATGAAAGGAACTTCTTCCCGGAACAGCTCACTAAAGTAGCCTTCATGTAACTCAACGATGCGATACACGCATCGGATAAGAATAAAGAGCACCGAAAGCGACAAGAACAAAAGGAAAAATAGGAGCCGTCTGGTGAGTTTTTCTCGTGGCCCTGACCTCCAGCACAGGACCATGTAGTCGGCAAATAAGAAAAAGAATATGGTCAGTGTTACGACCTGGAAGATGAGCCCGGCTAATGAAATATCTACGCCGATATCGATGTCAGCCTTAGTCGAGGCCACGCAGGACAAAGCGCCGCCGGTTGCTTGGAGCACAAGGGAAACGATGTCGCAGGGTATGAATATCCAGTAGAAGAGCCGGGGATCGCAGCGCGAAATCGATCGATCGAGAAGATTTATTCTGGAGATGCTGCGATTAGTTGGGCATAGACTTGATGATGATGGGATCCGACGTACACTTGAGATAGCAAAACATATATGGCGGAGCAGAAGAACACGGGGGCAACTGTAATGCAGACTAAGCGTGTGAGATGGAATTTCGTACCTAGTAAAGGTTGGAAGGATGTACTCACTGATTTGAATTAGGAAACCGCCAAAGTCAAAAGGATTGTCGTTGATGATGATACGGCCGATGTAACCAACAACCTCAAAGATGCAACCGCTTATCATGCAAGACATGAACCCCCAAGACTTTGATCGAATTCCCTGCGCTGCATGCACCAAGAGGGAAAGCCCAAATACGCTAATGAATGTAATGCTAGCCGGTAAGGATGGACGATACTGGAGAAGGCTGGCCTCGAGGGGGCAGAGGGCAAGGGTGCAGTTCGCATCCGGGCCAAAGGCAATCAAACCGCCTGGGAGGGTAGAAGTCGCCATTTCGAAAGCTAGATGATCTGGTATCGTGGTATATTCAAATATTCCAAGTGTTGATTGATCGAGAGTCCAAATGAGTTGCCACTTGTGTGTATAAAACACGACTGGGTTTATATATTGACAAGTATTTTCAAAAAATATGAAGGCAAAACCGTTCTTCCTCAACCAATGCCTACAAGGTACAATGGACTTCGTAATGACTCGTGGCTGTGCTGCGGGCGCGGTTACATGAAACGGTCTCTGTCTGCGCCGGGAATTTAGTGAATCTCGGTTTTCTGTACCCCTGGGTTCGGTACCCTCTAAGAGGCTTCAAATGTTAAGCCAGTCTTCTTTGATAGGGCTAGAGGAATTTAGGAACAGAGGATCTTATTACTCGGAAGAAACGGAACACCAGGTTTATCCCTGTTACCCAGTGTGTGGCTTGGCATGCCAGTAGACCTGGGCTATGCGAAGCTTGCGAAGATCCGAGTTAGGCGATCAATCCGTAACTGGACTGAGCAGAGAGTATATGTGTCTTGACTTTGAGGTTAAGGTCAAGAAGTTGTGAGCTTCTGCTTTCTCGAACACTGACGGCATAGCAAATAGCTCCGTCTCTTTGAAAGATTTACATGTCTTGAGCAAGGCTAAAACCGGAACTTGCATCATGGTTAGTGACCGAGAACTCGTTTGGTCGCTTTAAGTTGTGATCCAGCCGGGATTACTCAGAGATGTGTGATGATCTGAGGAAGAGAGAGTATGTTATGGCAAGGGTGTATGTCATCGGCCACGACTATGATCCCTTGCATTAGTGAAATCTGGTAACGCCCGAGAATGCCAGGGGCTCTGTCTGCTCGTATCAAGTTAGCTTCGTGACTTCTGGTTGCCGTTCTGGTCGGAACTTCCGCTGCATCCATGGTAGAGGGTGTCTTCGTCGGAAAATTCCTTCCAAACCTTGAGCCGAACCGCACATTGCAACAACGCCGCAACAAAGGTCGAGGGCCGATACGAAGTTCGCCAATTCCTTACAATCCTACTGCCAAGATGTGGCATTAAATTGAACAACGCAACAAACGACAGTCCCGAGATGAGACTGTTCAACGAATTGACAGAACATTTGGTTGATCAGGAAGTCTATAAGGTGACAGACTACCAGGAATGGAAGGGCAGAAAGACGTTGAGTAAGCTGGTACTCGACTTCGAGGCAGTATCACGTATCCGCAACCGAGACTCGATTGTTCCCGCCAAATGCGGTGCCGAATAATTCAGCCGCTCCACGGACTCCGCGGTGGGGACTCGAGAGGACTCCGCGGTGGGGACTCGAGAGAGCCCCATGAGGATGACGACGACGTTCATCTGCACCTGGACATGGCCGATGGTTCTGCCCAAGTGGGTGACATTGAAATTGAGACACTCGAACATTAAGCTGCTTATTCTCAAGTCTGCGGCCGGTATTATCAGATTATTGAGTCCTAATAATATATTATACTGTATTTATTGTTACTTTCTGTTACTTTTATATTACTGAAATTCTCTATTTATTGCTGAAAATAGTTTAATAACCAACCTCTTCATTAGGTGTCTCATTTCTCCTTTCACTCGCTTGCTGCCTAGGAATGTAGCTTAAGCAGAAGGTGCGGCTAGGAAAACATGGGCCTCCATGGCCCTGTCAGAGAGGAGCCCGTGTCCTTCGTGGTCTTCGACAGTAGACGTAGCCTAAAGCCCTGGGAGGTATCTATTACGAGTTTACATTTTTTTTACTTTCGTATTCATCCCGTTAAGATGTCGGGTCTGGCATCTTGTATTGCTGATTTTGACTTTAAACTCGAACTGTCATAAATAAATTCCAGTTACATGAGAGCCTACCACCTGGGTCCTAGAGATCAACGCTCACCGTCTAGCCAAGTGATTGGGTAAAAAGAAAAACAATAAAGCCATGTTCAAGGAGATTGGTGATGTTTGAGCTTACTCTTCACTCATTTTGTGGCTTTCTGACATCTGGCATGAGTGCAGCATCGTAGGCAAGTCTAGTCTTGTTGGAGCGAATCTCTCAATACCTCTGATTTGGCAACAGACTTCCACGAATATACCGCATTTTAAGTCTTTTAGCAAATCAGATTATCATCAAGATGAATTCCACACGTTGCAAGAGAGTCCCCCTTTGAGTGATGTACAGGCGTGATTGAGAAATTGCGCTAGAAGTTTGGATTTGATGCTTCGTCAGTAGACAATTCGCCCTCTGTGGCCAGGTAAGACTTACTCTACGATACCAATTAATAAATGTGCGCACGTTTTGCCGAGACGCTCCGCAAACTAATTGTAACAAGCATTAGGCTTAACACATGTGGAAAAAACATTCTTAGCTAATTGACGCAACTCAGGCGTGCCGACCGTAACTTCATTAAGGCGAAATGGTGATAATCATCTATGGCTTAACTACTCGTTAATACCTACTTTGGAAGGAAAATTCAGATCATAATGGCATTGGGGGTTGGTTGCAATCGTAGTTACTAACAACTCATACTTGCTATGCAGTTACACTAGCTTCGATATTCCCAAATCCCCTCTGCAGTTGATCAACGTCATTTAGTTTACTTCATACCGTACGTTTTCAGATCGTAACCACCGCTTTCCTTAATGGCCGTCTTATATCCTTCCCGAGACTGAATCTTCGAAGACCACTCAGTCAGTTTTGGGTACTTCTTAGGGTCGATGTAGCCTCTCTGCGAAGCCGTATCAAGACCAAAGCTCAGGTTGAAATCCGCAAGGCCAAACTTTGCCCCGGAAAACCACGGCTTCTCATCAGTAAGGGATGTTTCTAGGAGCTCAAAGAAAACGGTGAGCCCGCTCTTGAAGATGTTGATCACGGGGCCGATGACGAGGCGCACCAGGCCAGAGATGCCAAACGGGAGCGCCCTGAGCAAACTCTCAAAAGCCACGAGCATATCCAGCCTGGGGGTGAGCGTCATTGTGGCAAACGCCTGGAAGAACGTGTCGCGCCTCTCATCCTCCTTGGACTCTGGCTCCCACACCCCGCCGCCGTACTCGTCGCTGAGGAAGCGCAGGATCAGCTGCGCCTCGGTGAGAACTTCAGGCTGGAGCTGGAAGACGGGGAGGGGCTCGTCGCGTTTGTCTGCCCATTCGAGAACGAGGATGGGCGATTTCCCAAGGGGGAACACTTTCTTCAGCTCTTCTGGGGCCAGCGCTCGGATTCGAGGGTACGTCTTGACATGGAACGTGGTGCCGTTCAGCGCCTTCAGCTCCTCGAGAGCCCACAGAACGCGGAATGCAGCGGAGTGATGGAGGCAGTGGAGTGTAGGGATGAGATCTTGGCCCATCTTGCTGGTTCTGGGATTGTTCCCGAGTAGAGTAACGTTTGGGCACTTGATGGCGTTTCGCCGCCTATTAATTGAGAGCGAAGCCAGGCCTTGTCAGAACAATTGATGCCAGTAGATATGGGAATCCTGTTGCAAATTTCATGACGACAGGTTGCGGAGGAGGAACTCAAAAAATGTTTCTGGGAAGCTTAATCGGGCAATATCATTCTATACACGTGATCACTCTGTCACAAACGAATTAAAAATAGGCAGACAAGGATTGGACTCATCTGAGATAGTTGAAAATTGAGTCTTTATTGGGGTAATTAGTGCTAAGACGGCGGTCCCAGTTACCGGTTTAGTTAAAGGCCCAAGCATCTGTCCTGGGAGGCGAGTGGCGCTCGATGACAGCTTTGTGCAGTTGTAAAGATTGGGGCGTTCAAGTCCGAGCAGGCCAATCAGGATGATGTTATTAACCGAGGCAATGTGACATCTATGGGCATAATGACAGCGTCGAAAATATTTCGCTTTCACATTGAGATCTAAGGGACATTGGGCGCACCAATTGCTTGAACAGGAGTGGGTGGCCATGTAGAAGTATCAGAGTAATATCATGGGATTTAGGTATCGCCTTGAGGAGTGATGTGAGCTGTTAAATCGATTGGCAATTATTTTATAATCGGAAGAACTCAGGCTTGGACTGATATATCAAGTTTCAGTCAATGTTACTAAAAGAAGAAGAAAACCGGTTGAGAGATTTTATTAAGATATATTAGACAGTACCTTTAAGAAATTATTCCAACGCAATCAAACCCAGATAATCGTTTCTTGACTAAGGACTTGAGCGGACTGTTTTTGACGAATCAAGGAGAGAAAAGTCTTGGAATCTCGCGAATCCACTCATCAAGCAATATTCGTAAAACTTCAATTCCGCGTTAAGCATGCTTTAGAAGTCTTATCAGCCTCTCCCATCTCCAACGAGATGCGCAGTTCAAGTCGCTGCACCATGCGACGCGGTGGAGCTCCTCGTCGTTGAGGATACCCCAGGACTCCGGGTCAATCCTGCATAACCAGGCACAGCCAGTCAAATAGAAATTAAGCGGTTTACGCAAGACTGAGCAATAACTCCCATTAAAGGAATCAATTTTGAGATAAACGGCTGAGCCATCGCGCCGCCAGCGATATGCAGCTTGGCAAATAGCACAACAGTATTGATGCCGCAACTCATCAAGGTCTTCCGACATGAAAGGTGTTGCGGGGTTTAATCTTTTCAACGTGTTGCAGCGGCAGCAGAAAAAGTCTTCACGCGAACAGCTATGGCTGACCCAGGGGTGGTTGTCGAGGCACAAGCAACGCGCGGGGTTGAAGGCTAACAATAGTTGGCCATCGCCAGCCCGGACATGTGGACATAACATCGTGTCCAGCAGGTGTGCTTTTTCAGTCAGCCGCTCATGCAGAAATTCCCGGGTCACAGGGACTCCACGGGGATGATCGAATAGGAAGATTTGTGTTTCATTTCTCAACTTGAACCATTCGTCCTCGCCGGCGTGGTTGGACCGCACACGGGGCATTTCAGATCCTTGGCGAGCCGTGAGTGAATTCTTCCGGTGGATGCGCAGCGTGGAGTCATGTTCAGGGTGCCGACAGGTTTCTATCCTCTCTTCTTCTCCATTAGATTTGAAGTTCTGAGCGAATTTCAAATCTATGGACATATGAGCACAGACTGGTGCTTTACCTTCGACCAAGACACAAACCCGCGTTGCGCAGGAGGTGGCCCTCTGTTGTGGGGAGAAGAGGGGACGTTTATGCATCCGCATACAATGAGAGCACCAAAGCGTAGCTTGCAGAGCCAGTAGAGCCTTCTCGTATCGACCGTCCTCTCTAAACCGGCGGCAAGGGCCACAGAAGCGGTCGCGGTCTAGGAGATGGTCGACCTGCTGCCGTAGAGCAAGCCGGGCTTCAAGGGGAATGTTCAACTGTCTTTGTTCGAATGGCGGCCAGATCTGGACATCTCTCCATGAACTTGACTGGTTGGATACTTGGGAAAAAAGCGCTCGATCGAACATAATTCTCAGCAAGAGACCGCACGTACGCATGGCCATGGCCTTTGATACGTAGTCGAGGTGGTTCAAAATTTGTAAGAGAATTTCGTCCGGTAACTGGTAGAATCCGCAGCTTGCAAGATTGGCCCGCCGAGCCGACATCCACGATGGCTTGTCTTCGCCGGCGTGCAAGGTAGGATACGATGAGGCGCACCGCGGCTCGACCTTACGCGATCGGTTTCGCAATTCAGTTGTGATTGGGACATGGTGAGGTCTGTTGTTAGAAACCTCGACCCAACGCCCCAAGAATGCTAGAAATATTGAGCCTTTAGGCATCTTAGGTTAGTTGATAAGAAGACTGGACAACGCGGTGTCAGTAATGAACGACGCTGGCTTAGAAGAGGTGGTGATATACAGGAGTAACAGCTGCTGCCCCGTACGTTTAATATTAGAAAATTTGGTCGAAGTCCCAGATGTGAGTTCTCCGCGTGAAAAGTTTATTTAATTTTCGCTTTGGTAGCTGGTCTAAACTTTGGGACGGCGCCGAAGTTACAATGATGATGATATGTTAATTCAAGCTTTAAACCGACATCTCAGATTGCCAACAGAAAAAGGTGTTGTATAGTATAAGTCAAAAATGTTTGAACAGAAACCTGTGGAGAGAGATGCAATTTTTAACAAAACCGTTGTTTGTAAGAGCGATCAAGGCACATTAATTACAACTAAGGAGACTGAAGATCACGAAGAAATGATATATCTTAACAGAGAAGCACGCCTATCTCATGGAAGGTACAATGAGAGATTCCATCGCTGCGAGGGTGTGTTTCCGGTCTCAGGGACAACACAGTACACTCAGATGTGAGAAATTAGGAATGATGTGGTCTTCGACGACTTTCACTTCGGTAGAAGAGGAACTGGACTCTAGGGACAGGACTGCATATATGGCGTTACAAATCGGAATGCGCGTGCGACTTAGCGGCAAGGTTTGAATAAAAAGAAGTCGAATCTGCGTTGATTTGACACAATATCAACACAGTATTAATGCAATATTAATGAAATTCATTAGTAATTCTTAATACCAAATGAAGCCAAGTACTATAGAATAATAATTATCAATTTTCTTATTATTGTATTTAGTATTATTGATAAGAAAATGAGGTCCTTGTAGAGCCTTCGAAATCCTCATAGAGCACCTAGAGGTGCCAACCTTAAGGCCTGCTGAAGTGTGGTAGTGCTAATCGACTCTGTGCTGATGTCGAGAATAGGTATTTGGTCATCTCAGCCATGTAATGTCTGACCGTGCATCTCCTGAAATCGGCTGGGAGACGACACTCGCCCATTGACATCATTAACTTGGCGGTCACTTGGGCCCGGCGTTCTCGGGGTAGTTTTTGACGTCTACCCGCGTGAGACCATACATGCCCCCTTTCCTCGGCTACATGTGTTCTGTAGTAATAATATATTATTGAGTAGTTATTGCGCCGTGGTATCTATCCACAATTTGCACAATAGGGAGCATTATTGTGACTGACTGTCACAACAACTCTACCCAGGTGACTCTGTTCTATGCCGTCAAGGCGGACGCTGGTCGTCAAGTTGAAGAGGCAAGCAAGGTGACTAGTAACAATCTTATTTGCGTTGTCGAAGTCCGTTGGGCACTCAAGTAGGAGCGCAAAGTGTGCCGGGGAAGTCCACGTGGCCCTCGGACCGATTGCCCAGCTCGAGCGGGGGGAGTTCCAGCCAGGTAGTAGAATGACAGGAAGCGGCGGAGGGGATGGGAGCCGAACGTGGCATCGGCACCGACCTGCTTCCTGGGGACTGGATGCGTCCCAAGTCCTAGGGGGGTTGGGAGGGGGAGGCGGCTGTGGTGCCAGGGGCAACGGCGGAGATAACACCTCCTGGGTCGTTTCTGTTGAGCGAAGAGATGGTTATCCCGCAGATTCTAATAGTACCGGGCTTCTAGGCTTTTGGTAATACGTACGACTTGCAACTGTTGTAGCTAAAGAAAAGCGTTGCGAAGACACCAAGCGTCCTAATGATGGCACAGTTGTTCCAAAGCCTGGGATGACAAACTTCGTCCAGATGGACTCTGCGTCAGTCATGTTGGCAGCCATGGTAGGTCGGTAGATCGGCAGGTAAGTCGGTAGGTAGGTAGGGAGATGGGCTGGCAGAAAGTTGGGTAACGCAAACGAGTCTCAAGAGGCGATAGAAGAGTTGGATCTGAACAAAACTTCAAAGTTGGAAGAGAATGGCGGGAATAAAAGAGTCAATACCAACAAAAGATTGAAGGTTGCTCTTGCTTCATCTATCGACCAGGGCTGGCCGGCAGGAGGAGTTCCTGTGGTGCGGGCAGGGTCGGTGATGGTGGAACCCGACTGAAAGTGCCATTTCCGAAGGACGACATAGGTGTAGATTCAAGGTGGTCATCATCCGTCCATGAGGTTTTGGTCGAGTTGTATTCATCAAAAATATGTCGTGCGAAATGATCCTGGCGCGTCTTCACGGGGATTGCCTCGAGGCAGAGAGGGTTCTCGATCGTGGGTACAGCCATGTTGCAGGTAGTGTCAAAAGAAAGTGAGATATTAGGGCGAATGAGGTGAAGTCGACATGAAAGGTGCGAGTGCAAAGCCGCATGTGCGCCACAACATCGTGATGAACAGCGAAGGCTGCGCACGTGTCACTGTAAGTTCTTTAGCCAAGGGGCTACTGTTATTCACTGAATTGCCGAAAGCTTTGAGCTTGGTGTGCTGAAGTGCTTGGTTTGGAGTGATAGAAGACGAGTGTAGGAAGGGAGCTGTGTGGACACCAGAGCTCTTTTGTGTAAGCTAGAAACCTCGTTCTCTAATTAATAATATTCAAATAATAATAGTAAGTAAAATAATCAATTATCATTTATTATTTGGCTTGATATTGTATCGAAACATGAGGCTGTATGGAGGCTTTGGTGTGCCATGTTTTATTTCAGCCACTTGCCTGTCTCAGCCTTCAGTCCCGATTGGCGAATAGACAGGCATCTCGTAATTGTTCTGGCCCCGAGCTCCCAAACAAAATCGTAATCACAACTTGGTAATTACCTACCTGCCTACTTTAGGTAGGTATGAATGAAGTCGTTGCTACGTATAGGATAAATTATCTCATGCTTGCTGGCTAGCTATCCATAACTCGACATGAATTCAAAAGCGAGGAGAATCTCAAGTGGCTCTCTTGATCCGAGGCACCTCAAAGAGCTCGTAAGATGACTAACCCATGCCAGATTGAGATTAGTACCCATTTCTTCGCCGTACCTGCCCTACACTCTTTGCACCTAAGGCAAGAAGTCCCAACCAGAACCAGACGAGCACCGAAATTGAAGCCAATTGTGCATCCTCCAATGCCCATTTCCAAGATCAACTTCAGCTTGTGCGCATCAAGCACCCTCCGGAATATCAACTTAGAGCCGTTAATCCGACACTCCAACCCGAGAGCGATTTGGTGAAGCGCAGCCCCATTGTGTCCATTTAAAAATAACCTTATGATTGCCTAGCCAGAAGAAGCACAGCTTCAATTTCGATCGCGCATTAGATCACGGCAGGTAGGAGACGCTATCTTTAGGTGAGCCAACGGTTTCTTTTTCTTGCCTGAAGCCAGCTAGCCACTTGCATCAGTTTTCTCTAATTGCACAGGCTCGAACTAGCAGAGATTACCGGCACAATGGCGACCAGATCGCTCACACAATTGCGAGTCTTGTGATTGCAGAGGCTCCACCGGTCATGAAGGTCCTTGGCACCCACGAGCCAAAAGTCCCCGACAAGAGACCCTCCTAGAACCGACCGACCTCAACGACGCCGAGAGCAAGATACCGAGCCTACCCACCGAGACATCCACGACGAAAGCGAAGGTATAGGCACGGGGCCCACGTTCCCCAATGACAATTGTGTCAACATCCGTGTCGGTGAAGACCATGCGAGACATTTGCCTGAGATCGGCGCCAAAAATTCCGAGGGCGTAAGAGATAGCCAGCACCCT